GCTATTGTGGGAGAGAAGAAGCAGGATATAAGTACTATTGCTACTACTACTAATAATAATAACAAAAACACTTGGAAGCGTATCTATGAAGGAGCTAGAGGGCCTTTCCACACCGCCATATAACCCAGAATATTAAGGCAGATAATCTACCTTAATATCTACTTTGAACTGGGTTATCTGAGTCCACACTGCCATATAATCCACTTCAATGTGGATTTTATACAGCTGTGTGGAAGAGATCAGGCACAATCTACCTCTGGGATTGAGCTCCAGAGCAAAGATTTCTAGAGCTTCAGGGATTGAAAGGGAGTTTTCAGGAGAAATTTTGTCTGGACACAATGAAACTGAAAAGGTTAGTTGCATTTAATGAACTGGGGAAGTTTCTGAGGTCCCTTCCACACAGCTGCATAAAATCCACATTGAACTGGATTATATGGCAGCATGGACGCAGATAATCCAGTTCAAAGCAGATATTATAGATTATCTGCCTTGATATTCTGGGTTATATGGCTGTGTGGAAGGGTTCTCTAGCTCCTTCACAGATACACTTCCAAGTGTTTTTGTTATATGGCTATGTGGAACAGCCCTCAGAATTCAGAGACATGGGGCACATCTACACTCCATAATTAATGCCCTTTCAACATGGCTCAGTGCTATGGTATTGTGGGAGTTGTAGTTCTAGGGGTTTTCCTCACAGCCTAGGCCTCCCCCCAGTGACGCTGAGGGCTTGAAAGGTCATTAAACCACAATGACCTTTTAAGGTAACTGTAGAATTAATTCACTTTTGACACCCCTTTTAGTGGCCATGGTTCAGTGCTATGGAATCATGGGAGCTGTAGTTTGACAAGGCTTTTAGTCTTCTCTACCAAAGATTGCTGGCATCCCCAGCAAACTACAACTCCCAGGTTTCGTTAGTATGGAGTCATGGCAGCTGAAGTGGTATCAACTACATTAATTCTACAATGTTGATGCAGCCTTGTTTCCATGTATCTTGGTTTTCCTCTACAAAATGTTGGAGTGTATGTTGTGTATTGTGAATATGTTGGTCTTTAGGTAACACAAGATCAACCTCTTGCTATAATGTGGCACCCCCCCCCCCCCAATAAGTAAGCAAATGCAAAATAAATCCTCAAAAGATGTTACTAAACTGGAGGAGGGGTGGAATCCATGCCTCAAGCTTGGGAGACTGTCTTTGGGGTGAGCTTCARAGCACAGCTGTCTAGAACTTTGGGGATCAAAGGGGAGTTTTCATGAAAAAATCGTGTCTGGACAGGATTAAACTGAAAAGATTTCTCATTTGAAGAAGGGAGGAAGCTTTTGGTTGAATTCAAAAACAAAGTATGCATCTATACTGCAGAATAAATACTCTTTTGACACTAGTTTTAGCTGTCATTGCTCAATGCTGTGGAATCACGAGATTCCATAGCATTAAGTTAAAAGCATTGTAGTTTGACGATTGTAGTTTGACGATGCTTTTAGCATTCTCTGCCAAAGAATGGTGGTGCCCCCAGCAAACCACAGCTCTCAGGATTCCATAGAGTTGAGCAATTAAAGTGGCATCAGATCTGCATTAACTCTACAGTGCAGATGCACCCTAAGACTTAGAATGGCAGGTGTGGAGGAACTAGACAATTTTCCCTCTTTTGGGATAAGCTTCAGAGCAAAGCTTTTTAGAACTTCAGGGATTAATAATAATAATAATAACAACAACAACACTTTATTTGTACCCCGCTACCATCTCCCCAAGGGACTCGGTGCGGCTTACATGAGGCCGAGCCCGAACACAACAATAGAAGCAATAATCACAACAATACAAGTAATTAAAAATGAAGTAGGAGTTTTCAGGAGCAATTCATGTCAAGACAGGCTGAAACTTAAAAGGTGAGCCACATTTGAAAAACAAAATGTTTCTGAGAGAATACAGACATACAGTGGATAATTAATACAGTTTGACCCACTACTTTAACCACCATGGCTCAGTGCTATGGAATTGTGGGAGTTGTAGTTGGTGAAGCACCCTCATTCTTATGCAGAAAAGTCTTGTAAAACCATAGTTCACATGATTCCACAGCATTGAGCCATGGCAGTTAAAGTGGTGACAAACTCTACATTCATTCTACAGTTTAGATCAAAACTTTCCAAACATTTCTTGTTGGTGACACACTTTTTAGACATGCATCATTTCACAACACAGTAATTCAGTTTTACTTATAAGGTACAACCCCTTATAAGAGATTTGAACATACACGTATTGTAATATGGAGCCCCTGGTGGTGCAGTGGGTTAAAGCGCTGAGCTGCTGAAATTGCTGACCGAAAGGTCTCAGGTTCGATTCTGGGGAGTGGCGTGAGTGTCTGTTCTTAGCCCCAGCTTCTACCTACCTAACAGTTTGAGAACATGCAAATGTGAGTAGATCAATAGGTACCACTCCAGCGGGAAGGTAACAGCGCTCCATGCAGTCATACCAGCCACATGACCTTTTAGGTGTCTACAGACAACACCAGCTCTGCAGCTTAGATATGGAGATGAGCACCAACCCCCAGAGTCAGACATGACTGGACTTAATGTCAAGGGGAAACCTTTGCCTTTACCTTATCTAACTGGAGGTTAAACCAACCCCTTATAAGAGATTCGAACATATGTTTATTCTAATAAAGAAATGTATGTGGGTACAACATGAAATCCTCCCATTCTAAAAATGATCTATTGCTTATTTCACATAGACTCAAGTTTCTCATTATATTTATGCCGCACACCTACAGACTGTATCCAAAACTCTGGTGTGGATGCACCCTAGGACTTTGAAGGGCCAAAAATTGACACGATGTTCAAATGCCATTTAGCCATGGCACTTAAGAATGAATGCGGTTTTGACCCCACTTAACTGCTATGTCAAAAGGGTCTGGAATCCTGGGAGTTGTGGTTTGCACTCTTTGGCAAAGAAGGCTGCAGACCTTCTAAAATGACAGTTCCCATAATTCCATAGCCTTGAGCCATAGGAGTTAAACTGGTGTCGGGCTGCCTTAATTTTATGGTGTAGATGTACCCTTAATCCCTCTTTCGCACACATCGTATTCTTGATTCCCCAAGAAGTGCCTACTTGCCTCCTCGCCTTTCTCTCCTATCTCACAAGGCCTACCATTTCTGATGCTTTTCCTCATCCTCAAATTCCACTAAGTATTAATGACCTCTCCAGGCCATCTCTCTCATAATTCATATTCCCACTCCACATTTTTTTATTGATTTGTCTCATAAAGAAAAAGTTGCTTCTGTCCCAGTAGTTCAAATGTCATGGGATGAATATTGCTAACTTTTGGAAAGCTCGGCATTGTAAAAATAAAAAAGTAAAAATAAAAAGTACATTTTATTTCCTACCTGCCTTTCCTCATGGCAGGTTACAACTAACATGGCTAGAGGTGCATTTATGCTGCAGAATTAATGCATTTTGACAGCACTTTAACTACCATGGCTTAGTACTTTAAACCCTGGGAATCGTAGTTTCATAAGGTCTTTAGCTTTCTCAAAGAGTGCTGGTGCCTCACCAAACTACAAATTTCAGGCTTCCATAGCATTGTGCCATTGCAGTAATAGTGGTATCAAACTCCGTTAATTGTGCAATGTAGATCCTATGTTTTTGAATTCTCTCAGAAGGTTTTTTTTTTTTCAAACAAAGCTAACCTTTTAAGTTTCATGCTGTCCAGACATTATTTTTTCTTGAAATCTCCTTTTTGATCCCCAAAGTTCTGGACAGCTTTGCTCTGAAGATCACCCCAAATAGAGGGTCCATTTAGGAGCATTTCACATTTGAAGGATGTTTCTTTCAGTTTAGTAGCATCTTTCAGGTATTTCTTTATTAAGATTTTGCCAAGTTTTCCCCCCAGAAAACATTTTCTTACATATGGGAATTGCCAAGTTATAGGAAAAGCAATGAAGGTCAATACATTCATTTTTATTTAGTAGTCTTTAAGACTGTTAATTTTCTAATGAGAAATTAGTGAATGCAGTGGGGATGCCATCTTTCCTTCTCCCAGTCTATCAAGTTTTATTCTACGTACCCTTTAAGGAACATAAAATATTAGCTCTAAGAGTTTTGTATGCTAATTAAATCTTTAGTTGTTGATTTTAGTCATCCTCAAAACCCTGAATTTAGCACATTCATTTCAGAGCAAGTGACTCAAGAACTGTAGGTTCTAAGTAACCTAAACTCTGCCTTAAATTGACTTTAGTTACTTGCTCTTTGTTCTGGTTCTGGTTGCGGATGACACGATAAATAAATAAATAAACTTGCTCTTTGTATTCACCAGGTAATAAAAAGAAATAAGTTTATGTGTTGTATTTTATTTCTGGTACAATGGGCATTTCAAAAAAAAATAGCTTAACATAATTTTCAGTCCCAGATTTACATACTTAACTGCCCCACGTACTTTTCCTTTAATGATTAGGAAGTCTCTTTTTAGAAGAGGAAAATACATTGGCAACGCTGCTAACTAACAGGTGTTGCTGTACTAAATAAACCCTGCGCGAGCTGGAAAAGATTATTTGAGAGTGGTTGCCAAGATACGTGCCTGATATACACACACACAATACAGAGTTTTAGGGTTACCGAGTTTAGTGTTGTTCATATACCACAACATAAATGTATGCTAACTTCTACGTACGAAAAGATAAGAACATAATGCTCTTACATGGGTAAATTCAATCGAGTTTTATTGGCTGACTGACCATAATAGCATGGATAATTTCACTTATGTAGAACAATAGAAATGGCCTTATTTTAGACGTATTCTAAATGTCAGACTAATGGGATTGTTAAAATATATCTTACAGAGCATGAACTTTTAAAATCTGTTTTAGTATCTGCTGCTTGTTTCATTATTTGTAAAGGGTGATACACAGCGGAAACAATAACAAAATGATTTGGGACATTCCTAGTGTTAATAAAAGTGGTTTAAGATATTGTATTTTATTAGATTCCTAACTAATTCTTGTCATCTTTTCAGGTTCACTTTTGTTGGAATCGAAGATAAATCCAAACACTGCATATCAGAAACAGCAGGCATGTGCTAGTTTTTCTTTTTCCTATATACTTAACTGTGCTACTGTTGTTGCTGCTTTTTACTGTATATACTTGAGTATAAGCCGACCTGAATATAAACCGAGGCACCTAATTTTACCACAAAATTGGGAAAATGTATTAACTCGAGTATAAGCCGGGGGTGAGAAATGCAGCAACTACTGGTGAATTTCAAAATAAAAATAGATACCCAATAAAATTACATTAATTGAGGCACCAGCAGGTTAAATGTTTTTGAATATTTACATAAAACTAATTGAAGATAAGACTGCCCAACTCTAATTAAATCATTATTCTAACATTCAATGTAAATGTGCTTACATATCCTTGCAATAATAATAAAGTAAAATAATAAATGTAATAATAATAGAGTAAAATAATTCACTTGTAATAATAACAGTAATAGAGTTAATAAGTAATGTAATAATAACAATAAATAGAGGAAAATAATAAATGTAATAAATTAAGAAAAATAATGTAATAATAATAACAGAGGAAAATAATAAATAACGTTAACTCGAGTATAAGCCAAGGGGGGCTTTTTCAGCCTAAAAAAGGGCTGAAAAACTCTGCTTACACTCAAGTATATACAATAATTTTTAAAAACCTGTTGTTTTTCTGGAAAAGTATCAGAATGGGTTGACTAGCCTCATCTTCCTTTGGGGCATGTTGAGACTTGTTATATGGATTATATGGATTAGTTACACTTTATTTATTTAAGAGAGGGATTTTGATATAAAGCAAGATGTGTATATTCAGCTCAGGCAAGAAATGTGAAAAGGCATGTTTTATTATTCTCATTGATATTTTTCTTGTTATGTGAATGGAGTTCTTCTCCAATTCCCTCATTACTAGAAGTTAATTGCCCTGTTATGTACACACATTTCACACTACTAGGCTAAGAAGAATTAGTCAGCCTAAGTAATAAATATACACTCATTCTTCTCAGCATCAGAAATTCTTTTGTAAAGTGATAAAATAGTATATAATTAATGTTCTGTCCAACTCACCAGTTCATTATGTGTTTGCTTTTAAATAGTAAGTTAACACATGTGTGATGTGTTATATATTGTAATGTGTGTCATATAGTACTTTTGTTGACCTGTCCTGCTTGTAGCTTTCCACTCTATTTGCATCTCAATCCGCATGGTGATTCATAAAACCTCAGGTTTGTTGCTTCTTTGGGATTGCAAAATTAGGGACTGCCAAATACCTAGCAGGCCGTAAAACATGGGTGAATGATTGCATCCAGCTTATACAAGTCTGCTATAATACTTCCTTTTTACTTTTCCGTTTGTTGTCAGCTTTTCATTACAGTAATTTCCATTTATTCTTCCTTCTCTTACCTGAATATATGTGATATTAAGATGTGCTTGTTTCTTATAAAATGAGTCTTAGGTGTTTATTGCATACCAGTTAGCTATGCAGATTGAAGGCATCAATTCATTCCTTGCATTTGCATGATCGGTGGATGCAAAGCAAGATTAGGAATATGTAGTTATCTTGGCAGCAAATGCAGCCTTTAGTCACTTTCTTAGGGGACAAAGAAAGGAGCCTTGGAGGAAAGGGTTTAGATTATACATTTCTTTAACAATTTTTTCTAGATGACTGATAGAATGCTTTGTTTACCAAAAAAAAGTCCCCTTTTTCATATGGTGAATTAGGGAATCCCCCTTAAGGCAAGGAGATTTCCCCTCCTCTGAGTTAGTGTAATTCTTTCCACATCTTTAGCAAGCATGATGTGTATCTTCATGAAATAATCATCCACGATGGTTAAGTCCTGGCTTCTTATTTTGATTAGTTGACTTGATCTGGAGTTCCTTGAATCAAGCCAGGAACGATGCTCCATAGTTGGTGCATGTAGTTCTCCTTGTGTAGGTCCCCTTTCATTAACTGTGAATTATGAAGCCATGAAAAATAGCCTGAACCCAGCCACGGAGTTTATTAGTAGCTGTTTTAAGTGGGGTATCAGTTTTTATCCTTTCATGTTAACACTTCTCTGTGAAGGCATAGCTAAAATGTGTTTTGGGTGATAAATATTTTTGAAAATATAACCTGTCTTGCTCAGTAAATGTTCCTGTTGTAATCTAGGGCACTGTTATCTCCATTGGGTCAGTGACTATAGTGTAGTAAACATATTTTTCAAAATAATAAGTGTAGTATTGAGGAAATTAAGTATTATTTCTTTTTTGAGAAAGTAAAAAAAAATTAGCGAGTGTTGAGCTATATAATATAAATCAAGGTTCTAAAAAGAGGATTTAGAATTAGTCTTGCTTAGTTTATTTTATAGAACAACATATTTCTATTATGCTGGAACTCACGTTTTCTGATTTGTAATCAGACTCATAGAAAGCAAGCTGGCTTCTATTCCTCTGGGGAATTCCACTGACTTCATTTGAACTCTGCTGGCACAAAGAACTGTCTTGCATGAACAAATGGAGGATCAATTCTGAAATAAGTAAATCTTTTCTATAAATAGGTTTAGCAAGACCTGCACACCAACACTAAAATACACAGGTTGCATTTAGTGGTTATCCTTTTTAGCTTTAGATATAGATCAGAGCTCGGGTGCTGGCAGTGAATAAAAATAGCTAGCTCTGAATAGTCATAGAGTGGATTAATTTTGTATTGTACAAAAGTCACTAGCCCATTCTTAGTGTATCTAATTCCATCATTAGAACTTTTAATGCTTCAAATTTGAGGCTGTTTTTCATAATTCTGTTATAATGATAGTGCTGTATCCTACTGCTGTATCCTCCTGTTTGTGTTTTTAAGCAGGAGAGGAATTCTTAGGGAAAAAATGCTAGCTGTGTTTTAGTATCTATTTTAAACTGTCGGTAGACCACTTCCCAGCATTTTAGTATGACTAAGGGTAAGCCCCAGTTCTCTCACTGAGTCACGAGTCAGGAAGCAAGTCTTACCCCACTGCTCTGGTGTCTCCATAAATGTGTCCACCAAAAGAAGCACCTTGGGGATATATGTTGGTTTTCACATTATTTTGTTAAATATAGACAGCCCCCAAGTTGCAAACAAAATAGGATTTGTAGGTTTGTTCTTAAGTTGAATGTGTGTGTAAGTCAAAACAGGTACAGTTTTAAGTGTAACTCTAGCACACACCCCATTATACACACATACACATCCATATATCCATCCATACATACATACATCCCTTTGGAAAGCATAAACACCACTATGGTGTTTGTTTTGCTGTCTCTGCCCCCATTCACCTCACCTTCTGTCCCTGTGATCATTGGATTTTGAAAAAAAAAATGTCTTGTAGTGGAAACAAAGGTTGGTGATAAAGCTGTAGTGGAGACCCCTTTCCCCATGATAACTCTTTCAGGAGTAAGTTTCTCTCCTTAGGGTAGAATTATCTTAGTTCCTGTTGTGTCGCCTCCTATTCTTAATTATAAATACTTTTTAAGCAGGATGTTTGCAACTCGGGGACTGCCTACATCACAAACCCAAGCAATCACAGATAGGATGGGATGCTATGTAAAAAGGCTGGTAATTCAAACTTTTATTAAAATTAAAAGTTTTGGGGGTTTTTTAATGTGGGAAATAATAAGTTATAGTATTATCTGAGAGGTGCCATATTTGTTTCGTTATTTGCTGTTTTGTTTTAAAGAACTCTTAGGGGAGAATTGTCTTTTTGAGCACGCACTTAGCTCATATTATTAAGGCTAATTATAATATTTGTTTCATTTTTTTACATATTTCTCACCACTTTTAAAAGGACTTTTACAGAATATTTGCTGTTGTCATATATAACTCCAGAATTCGTTTTTTCCTTAACATCACAGTTACTAATATTGATTAGTGTTTTGGGCAATATAAGATGCCTTCCCTTATAGCTCACCTGATCTATCTTGATTGTGTAAACAGAATGATAGTAAGAAAATAACTGGTGAATTTCTGCTCACAAATTGAAATGGTGTGCCATGAGCTCATAAGTCTGCTAAAGTGCTTGCTTCTGCCATGACTGTGAGAGAGTAGATAAGATTTTTTCATATTACATTATTTCTTTCTGATACCGAAGATATCCATGGTGTATACTGTAAAAATAGTTATACATCAGAAATAGGTTTAGTGATGTATCATAGACTAGCTGTTACCTGTTAACAAAGGGAAGGAAACTGCTCTGTATACTAAATAACTTTGTGAAAGAGATGGACAAAAAAGTGAGACTATGTTCTGTCTTCACTACGATTAACTGAGTATTAATAATCAGTATTAATCGTTTTGTTTATGATAAATGTGTTATGGGATGTTTCTGACTGAAGCCTACACACTATGATAGAACTTTGTATGAAGAAGATGATATAAAATTATTTCTGGCTTGTGACATACGTTCATATCAACATTAGTCGTAGCTCTATATTGGGGAGACTTTACACTTCCTTGCCTTTCCTTTTGCAATTTTTGAAAGGGGGGAGGGATTTCCTAAAAGCACCAGACCTTATTTGATCTTTGAAGCCAAACAGGATAAGCCCTGTTTAAAACTTGGATGGCAGACAGCCAATAAATGCCAAGTACTGTAGGCTATATTTCTGTGGTAGAAACTGGCAAAACCACCTCTTAGTATTCCTTGCCTAACAAAACCCTATGGAATTCATGGGGTCACATTAAGTCACATATATTAAATGTCTGCAAGATGAAGAAAAATGATAAATGAAATAGTTAAAAGTTCTGTAGATTGCTTTCTTGCATATTATGTAACTAGTCCCTTCATTTTTTATATAGACAGACACATGTAACCAAATAAAAGGAAATATAAATTCAAGACTTTTGCTTCTTCTCAGTGAGCAAGTCGTTCCTAATTGATTAGCTGTATTAAAAGTGAAATGTCAATTTGTAGAGGCAAAATAGTATGTCCTGAATTTTTTTATATATATATATATATATATATATATATATAGTATCAGATATATTCTCAATTTATGTTTGAATCTATATATGTACATTGTTTTCTGTTTGATATTCTTGATAAAGTAATGAAAATATTATATTGCTTATTAAAATTTTTGAAGGGTATTTGTCAAAAACAGATAGAGATCAGCTTGCTTAAAATGTTTGGAATGTATTTTCTTTAGTAAAGTTGTGTTTAGATGTCAGTAGTTGCTTTGTTGGTCATATGAACCTAGTTGTGATCACCATGGTACTTCCATACTGGAATCAAATAATAAGTAGACTGTTTCATTCTGAAATAGGATACTTTGATTGTTTGGTCCGAAGCAGAGAATTATGATTTAGCTCTGAGTTTTCAAGAAAAAGCTGGCTGTGATGAGATCTGGGAAAAGATTTGCCAGGTAAGATTACGCTTTTTCTTAAATACATTTTAATTTGCCTTGTGTTTTATAAAATTGAATTTCTGAACAAATATACTGCAAACTAAGTTCAGTTCCAACAGCAGTAGCAGTATTTTAATGAATCAGAATAAAGATTTTCTGAAAAGTTGCACCTTGTTGTTCAATTGATTACATCAATCTTAAAAAAACACACACAGTGTTTTAGTGCTACATTTTTGTTGTTTTCCTTTACCAGTATCTATTTAAGCTTTCTGGCATATGTATCTGTGAAACAATATGCGTCTGGGAATATGTTACCTGCATGAATTACATTTTATACTCAAAATATATTTTAATATACTTTCTGTGCAAATGCTAATCATTCTTAATTTTCATTGAATTCTTAGTACTCAGCTTTAAATCAGCTATATTGATGTCTTTGGCACATAGTAGTATGCCTGTGCACCTGGAATTACAGCCAATATGTTGTCATGTGTGAAAGTATTAGTACCATGAACCCTTTGAAAGTGAATCATGCTTAGACTTTCTCATTTGCACAACTATGATGACCTTCAGAAAAATTCCCCGTCCTCCTTTCTATAGCATCATCAGTCATGGGAGTAGAATCTGACTTTGGTATAGCTCATCAGTCATATTTAATTTGTGATTGCTTTATGGTATGTTAGAAGCCTTTTAATGTTATATGATTCTTATATATAGCAACCAGAGGGTTGGGATTGTCATTTCTTTCTGTTGTTTGCCACCCACAGTTCCCAGAGTATTTCAAAATGAGTCAGAAAGTGTTCTTATTTCCTTTTTAGGTGCAAGGTAAAGACCCTTCTGTGGAAGTCACACAGGACCTCATTGATGAATCGGAAGAAGAACGCTTTGAGGAAATGCCTGAAACGAGTCACTTGATTGACCTCCCGACTTGTGAGCTCAACAGACTCGAAGAGATTGCAGACCTAGTTACCTCAGTTCTCTCGTCACCCATCCGTAGAGAAAAGCTAGCCTTGGCTTTGGAAAACGAAGGCTACATTAAGAAATTATTGCAACTTTTCCAGCTTTGTGAAAACGTAGAAAATACTGAAGGCTTACATCATTTGTATGAAATTATTCGAGGGATTTTGTTCCTCAATAAAGCAACTCTTTTTGAGGTGATGTTTTCTGATGAGTGCATTATGGATGTTGTGGGATGCCTTGAGTATGACCCTGCATTAGCTCAGCCAAAAAGGCACCGGGAATTCTTGACCAAAACTGCAAAATTTAAAGAGGTCATACCCATAACAGACTCTGAACTTAGGCAAAAGATTCATCAGACTTACAGGGTACAGTACATTCAGGACATCATCTTGCCAACACCATCAGTTTTTGAAGAGAATTTCCTTTCTACACTTACATCTTTCATTTTCTTTAACAAAGTGGAGATTGTCAGTATGCTACAGGTAAGTGAATATAGAAAATTAAAGTCATTTTCAACATTCTAAGCATGATTATGGCGTTAACCGTATTATGTATTTAATTCAGTACTGATTATTATGTTTTATATCTTGCATAGTAGCTTCTGATATATTCTCTAGTTTCCCTACAGCATTGTTTTCTCTGCATAGTTGTATTCTTTGTTGCACCATATGACTTCTTCATCCCTAAGGTTTTCATAAGCGTAGCCCATTCCTCAAGCCAGACATGATACATTCAGCATGTGCTTTATGCTGTAAAAGGTGGGTGACTTTTGGCAGTGGCTTTTGTTGTTGCTTAAAACTGTTTTGCATACTTTTAAAGCGGGTGTGTTGTGTTGTGCTGTGTCATGTTTATTTAGAACAAAAGAGTGTAAATAAGGACCATCTTACTGGTTTTCAGCTGTCAACAGTAATAGATAAATTGTAACACTTTAAACCTTCTGTGTGAACAAACAACTCTAATTTTGTACACTACAACACCCCTATCCATGGATTTGATATTTGTAGTTTGGCTTTCCTATTCTCCAAGAAATATCCTTCCTCCCCACCCACCCAAGAAGGGGCCTCTCTAGGTCTTCCAGTGTGATTCTGCCCATGTATACTCATAGGGATCACTATTACCTACTTGGTATGCATTTCTCTAGGATGTGGGTTTGCAAGTTCTCTATAGCAAGTTTACAGTTATGAACTTAAATCACAAACAGTAAGCACATTGCTATTCCTGTTGGTAGATTTAACCTTTAATAGATCTTGTGTCTACAAAAACTCTCTAAATACAAATATGTAATAATAATATGATAGAAGCATAACCTTAGTAATCATAAGAGTGTTACATATTTTGATATTGAATGAGGAAGAAATGCTGGGAAGGAAAGAATAATAAAAAACTGCCCAGTACAAAGACAGATATTTTATTGCCATATCCCCTTATTGTCTCATGTGACTGGCAAGAGTTTGTCTAAGGCAGGGGTCCTCAAATTTTTTAAACAGAGGGCCAGGTCACAGTGCCTCAAACTGTTGGAGGGCCGGATTATAATTTGAAAAAAAATGAATGAATTCCTATGCACACTGCACATATCTTATTTGTAGTGCAAAAGACACTTAAAAACAATACAGTAATTAAAATGAAGAACAATGTTAACAAATATAAACTTATTAGTATTTCAATGAGAAGTATGGGCCTACTTTTGGCTGATGAGATAGGATTTTTGTTGTTGTTGTGTGCTTTCAAGTCATTTCAGACTTAGGTTGATCCTGAGCGAGGGCCGGGTAAATGACCTTGGAGGGCCACATCCAGCCCCCGGGCCTTAGTTTGAGGACGCCTGGTCTAAGGTTTTAGGTAGATGGCTTTGCACTACCTGCTGCATTGTCCATTTTATTTTAAAATATTGAGGATTACAGGCAATTTTCTGTATCTTGAGGATGTGCCCAGCTACTTATATATAGTCTTCTCCCTGACTCTAAAAATCTTCTCTTCTGATAGCAATTGGCAATTTTTTATTTCAAAATTATAATTGTACAAGTTGTGGGAAGGAGTTCTCTTTCTGTACTAGCTTCCAAGACTACAAATGACCATTTTAACAAGTATCCTATTTGCAGCCATTGTTGATGTTTGACTTTTAAGTTGTTTCCGATTTAAAATGCTCCTAAGGCAGACCTATCAAGGGCCAACTTCCTGTGAGACTGAGAAAGTTTAACTTGCCCAAGATCACCCAGTGGATTTCCATAGCTAAGTAGGGATTTAAATCTTTGTCTCCAGAGTCATAGTTCATTGCTCATACTTCTACACCATGCTCATTTGGAGCAGTACAGATGTTGAAATTATTATTATTATTATTATTATTATTAAGGAGTTCTTAACTTATTTTTTGATATTCCATAAATAAAGAGGGCATAATTGGTTATGTTAGTGCCAACACATACATCCTCACTTTCCTTATCCTTCAGTTGAAAATTTTAGAGATTCGACTTTGGAATATGATGAAATTGTCATGCTTTGTTGGCCATATGAACCTTTCAAGCACCTGAGTATCTCCTATACACACATTGTCATTGTAACAATAATTTGCCCCTTCGTTGAAGCACAGAATAATTTATGGGCTTTTGTAAGATTCTGGAGAGCTTCACTGATATTCAAGGAAACTTTATTGTGATGTAATGTTTTGACAAACGTATTGTGGCAGTGCTAGTGTTTTATTTTTTCTGACACAGTATCAATATCACCCAAAGGAATTTTCTGAAAAGGTTGTCTTGGCCTAAGGTAGTTATATAGAATTTCTACTTCTGTGTACAACTGCCTGTCCACAGGAGACAGAAATTAACTCAGTCTTTGCAGTGTAGTGTGTGATTGCTGAAGTAGTAGTTGTCCGCTCCGGGGCAGAAGGTAAGGAGATAATAGAGAATAGACACTCTCTTCCCCTGTTCTGAATCAAGCATTTTCTGGAAGCATTGCAAAATAGATGGTTTTTGTGGAGGCTAATCTAATTTTGGATTTGGTTGCAATTCAGTTTGAAATGGAGGCAGTTTTGCTGAAATTGTAAGTAGTTCTTTACTGCTCTTCATGGGCAAAGCTTGATTTTTAAGCACATTTCAACACATTATCTTTGAGACTGAGTGGGATAAATATGTAATGCATTCTGCATCCCAAAGGAGCCGAAGGCTTCTTCCCTACCCCCTTTCTTGCCTTTGCGCTCCCCCCCCCCCCTCCTTCGAGAGCATAACACATGGAAGAGATATTTTCAGTACTTGCCAACAACTGTGTTTAGGAAACAGTTTCCTTCTTTATTTTGGTCCTTGTTACTGCTGTTGTGGCAACATGAAATTGGTTTATTTGTTGAGGTTTCTTGCTGTCTGCAGAGTCCTTAGTGAAACATTATGAATGATGGGAAATGTTGAGCAAATCTCTCTTTTGATGGGCAACATTGTGAGGAGCAGTAGGTAGGAGGAAGCTACATATGCGTGAATGGGATCATCCTTTTCTTTCTTTGGCTTGATGGCTGAAATCCAAAGAGCTATTTCAGAAGGGAGGCCAAGGCTTTGTGCACAACCAGTGGGATTATTTTTAACTGTCTTGTGAAATACGTCCTAGTACCCCTGACATACTGTAAACTGGCCTTGAAGCTCTTTTTAGTATGAAGCCTTGTGCCACAGTGGAGAGCTAATTGAGAAGCTCTCCTGAGTATACACTATTTATGTGACATGCCAGCTTGCTTCTTGTCTTCATAAATTTTGAAGACTTTTGGCTGTTACCTATCCCAGAAAAGAGAGAGAAATGCAGAGCAAATCTTAATGATCAGAGCTATTGTCTCAGGTTCCCTTTGCTAGGAAATATTTTGCTTACTGCACTTGGTACTGTGATAATGATTAACCACCGGGTTTTATTTCAAGATTTTTATCAAAACATACATTGTTAGGGCTTAGAGAGAAAATTCTTTTCAGCATTGAGTTTCATTATTGTCAATCGTAAGTTTCTTCTGCCGATTAAGTTTATTTTATGAATAAAGGACTAGATTCTGTCTAGTCATTTTAACATACTACCTACCCTAAGTGTGCTAAGTTACTGTTCAACAGCACTTTGCAGGCTTGGATCATAGGACTTTGAACATCTGCAGCTGGGGAAACCATTATTTTATTGGTAAACCATTATTTATTTTATTGGTAACCTGCCTTTCCTAACGTGGAACACAAGGCAGCGTACAACAAATTGAAACAAAGTACAGCTAAACAAAATGTTTATAAAACAGTTAAATAATTATGTTAAAAGCACAAAGTTTACCTAAAGTAAAACTTAAAAGTTCAAGCAGTTTAAACATGAAACTTCATTTTTTAACAAAAGACAAAAGTATACTTCACCACATTAAAAATAACACTTCTCAATGTGTGAACAATTCAAGGTGCAGGTTATTACGTATAAAGCCCTAAACGGTTCGAAACCTGCCTGCCTGTAATAAGAAATTCAGTGTGCAAATTTGATAAATGTGAATGTAATAATTATTGGCTCTATTCATGACAAACCTTGATGACCACATCTTCCCTTATGAACCTGCATGATTATTACGAACTTGGGATGGCTTTTCTCTCGCTCCCACCCGTCACAAGCACGGCTGGTGGGGACGAGAGAGAGGGCCTTTTCGGTGCTCCCGCCCCCCCGGCTCTGGAATTCCGTCCCCAGGGAGATTAGGCTAGCACCCACCCTGTCCATCTTTCACAAAGATCTAAAAACGTGGATGTTCCACTGTGCCTTCAATTAAGACAATCCCCAGATAACCTGGTCCCAGCCAGGTCCCAAAATCTCGTCCTCGCACTTTACTTCTGTTCTGTACCCAAAGTTGGAACAGTGATCCATCTTGCATTGCTCTCTATCCCTAATGTTGTCATTTGACTTATGCACTTTATCCAACAGCCCTATCCTACAGTTGAGTTGCACCAGTCTGCCCACCCGTGTCCAGAAATTGTTTACTACTGCAGGTTCATTGGTTGCTGTTTTGATGGTTGCTCTTATATTCTGTTATAACGTTGTTGTGTTGGTTTTGTTTTGTTTTGTTTTTTGCTGGTGTTTTTATATTTTAGTGTTCCCATGTATATGGCTCGTCCCCATGTATGCCATCCTGAGTCCCTTCGGGCAGATGGTGGCAGGGTATAAAAATAAAGTTATTATTAATATTATTATTCTCTGATATAAGTTAAGAGCTGAAAGCATGACTAAATAAATGCCTTTACCTAGCAATTGAAAGGATGCAAAATTGATGCCAACCAAATCTCCTGAGGAAAGGTTGCCACAGCAAGGGAGCAACCACTGAGAAAGCTCAGCTTTTGTCTAGGACTTTTCCTCTCCCTCAACCTGTTATTTCTAACCCATTGTGGAGTACAAAACATTGATTCCTACATTTACAGATGACTGGACTAACTGTCACCTGAGGTCCCTTCCAGTTGTACAATTCTGTGATTCTAAACACTGAACAAGGATATATTTGAGGATTTAGTAGTAAGACTGATAAAATTTTGTATTCAGTGCCTGAAACTGTAAAGGCTTTTGATGCCAGTTACTAAGGTGTAGGAGCGATAAAGACTATGCATTGTCTTGTCTGCATTACAGTATTAAAAACAAGCGTAGAAAACCATGACACACTTCAAACACTTTACAACACATAGCAGTGTCAAATTACAGTTTTAGCTGTGAGGTCAAGAAGATGCAAAGAGAACAGCATGTACTTGAAAATGATTTTATTCAAAATATAAGCCTAAGTTTAGTGTTGTGCTGAAAAATATGGGGGAGCCACAACATGCAGTGCTCATGCCATATGGCTGCCATCTGGAACCTCCAAGCCTGAACATTGATTTGATGTAGGGATGTGTCATGAGCATGACAGTTTGTGACACCATCATTAACTCATGGTTGAGGAGGGGAGGACTAAGAAAGTATCTTGCCAGCTTCTGTGTCTTGACTGTGCATCATGACAGTTTTGTATAATGATACATTGCTAAGAGTTGGACAGGCACTAAAAATAGTGTCAGTACCCAAAGCAGGGAGCCAGCACAATGAGATTGTGGGACGTTTGAGCACTAGGATGTTGTGAAGACATATGTGGTTCAGAGATCCATTTATAGGTTCTTCAACCATTGAGATGATTCTTTCAGCATGTTTGAATCAAATTAGTTTAAACTGGCTTGGCACTTGCCAGTTTATCAGTGGAATTTGAGAGAATTCTTGTACTAAATCCTATCAGAGGGATCTGCTTCACAGCTTTCCCTTTACTCCTGGAAATGCAAGAAGGCTTAGCTCTAAATGGAAGCAAAACTGTTTGGCTGTAAAATTGGTTCATCCAGCTAGAGAACGTGCCAAATATAAGGCTTTTTGGCCTAGTCATGGAATTTATAGTAATCAAAAAAGATTCCCTAACATGGCTTTAACATTAAATGCGTTCTGAATGTAGTTTCCCGAATTTTAATTAACATAAGAGCAGCAGAGTAGGTGCTGCTCGGGTCTCTTGGATGCTAACAGCACATCCTTATAGTGTGGTTTAACATTACAGACCAGATAATCATTTCTAGGAGAAACGACACTTGATTGCTGTGGCCCACATGGGGGTTCTGTGTGGGAGGTTTGGCCCAATTCTATCGTCGGTGGGGTTCAGAATGCTCTATGATTGTAGGTGAACTATAAATCCCAGCAACTACAACTCCCAAATGTCAAGATTCTATTTTTCCCCAAACGCCATCGGTGTTCACATTTGGGCATATTGAGTCTTTGTATAGAGTTTGGTCCAGACCCATCATTGTTTTGAGTCCACAGTGCTCTCTGGATGTAGGTGAACTACACCTCCAAAACCAAAGGACACTGCCCACCTAACCCTTCCAGTATTTTGTGTTGGTCATGGGAGAACTGTGTGCCAAGTTTGGTTCAGTTCCAACGTTGGTGGTGTTCAGAATGCTCTTTGATTGTAGGTGAACTATAAATCCCAGCAACAGCAACTCCCAAATGACGAAATCATTTTTTTGAGTGAAGGACATACATTGGGTTGTTAGGTATATGCTGTCCAAATTTGGTGTCAATTCATCCAGTGGTTTTTGAGTTCTGTTAATCCCACAAACAAACATTACATTTTTATTTATATAGATGAGATATATTTGCATTTAGCAAAATTTCATCCACTCAAATTATATCTATCTATTTCTAACGTGTGAAGTCTGTGTTTCATTTAATTCTGGGAAGGGTTTGACCATCTTGAAATGTGTCTGTTCCCTCCTCCTTCCAGTTCATAGACAAGTTCTGAACAAATGTGCGCTTAGTGGTCAAGAGCTATGGAGATGCTTGATTTCATGACATTCTGTGGTTTACACTTTTGAGATAATATAAGTTAATTGAGTCAGGTAGCTATTGAAATCTGCCTTTCAGGTGTGTAATTTTGAGAAAATTCCTTAGTGATATCTAAATTGGACAAAGTTTTGTATTGATATTCTGTTGTGTTCAAAAATGGCAAGCTATTTTAGTTACTTGACTCCAGATTTTTAAGGTGAGGTTTAAAATTGTCAAGTGACAGCTAAACCTCTTTAAACTGGAGGCGGTATAGCAAGTAAGCGGGGTTTTTCTTTCCAGATTGCTATTTGAGACATTTATTAAGCTAAATATAAATAACATTTACTGGGTTATTCAAAGCTTTTTTGCTCTGTGTCCCCATTGCCCCAGAGTCTCTGACATATTTATACATTAAAATGTAGTGTGTATATCTTACCAGAGCTTCCAATGTATAACCACCTACATACAGATCACATTGTTGTTGAAGTGAGATGGAGCCTGTTTGTTCCTAAGTTCCTTTTGTGTTTCCTAAAAGCAGTTACAGTATATAGTTGCATAAAGGAACAAAGTAGGAGTTGGTCTTCCCTTATTCTTTAATTCTTGCAACATAATATTGTGAGGTTAAGACAATGGTGATGTTGAATTGACACTTAAAAGTGTTGAGAGAGAAATTACCTTTTTTGGCATTCAGTTCTTACGCTGTTAGAATCATGTGATAGGAAGAGTAGTGGTCTTAATAGTCCCATCACACAACTCTACTACCTTCTTCGCTTTGGAGAAGAGAAAGGTCTACCCTGTATGCATAGATTTCCTATATGAGTTTGGCATAGATTCCCTATGCAATTTGGCAGTCTCCAAAGCAGGACCTTGTTCTCTCTCTTTCCACAAATACCATTGTGCAAGTACTGAACAAATGCAATCGCCCTTCCACGTGTGCTTGGGTTAAGGGCACGTAAACCTCATGTAAGTGAAAAAAATGTAAATTAGAAATGCTTTTTTCCCCCTGAGCAACCTGTTTCTAGACATTTCTGTGTCTTCCAGCACAACTCAATGACAACTTTGATTGGAAACTGACTATAGAATTGCAGTTGAAAATCTACAGATTCCTGGAGATAATTTTCAGTCAAATACTTGAATAAACCAATCTGCAGAAATCAAACTCGTAAATGCAGAGGGCTAACTGTAATGCTAAAATCTAGCTACTAAGGCTTGAGTTTAACCTCTTCGTATAAATACAAAGAACAGTGCAAACAACATTAAGACTATGTTATAACTCGCTGTTTATAATTCAGTTGTTGTGACTAATAGAACTGTATTATTTGATTTTCTTTAATCACAGTGGGATCTGCTTTAAAAAGTAGGAAGTTATAAATCAATGACATTTGTCTTACTTATAGCATGCAAGAGCATACATGGAGGTACATAAAATGAATTTATTACAATAGTACAAAACCTGATTTTACGCTCGAACTCTGAAAATAGTGCTCTTTATGTTACAATGTACAATTTCTATATCTTATAGGAAGATGAAAAGTTTTTATCTGAGGTTTTTGCACAGCTAACTGACGAAGCTACGGATGATGACAAAAGGCGCGAACTGGTGAGTGTTGTATATGTGGTTTTAACAGGGGAAAGCAGTTGTTCTCTCCTCAAGTGTACTCTTCCCTAAGCTGTCCCCTACAGTTAATTTCTAGAGCTTTTTGACTGACATGGCAATTTCAGAGGGTCTGTTAAGAAGTTTATCCTGTTCAGTTAGATACACACATGTCTGTATTTCAGTTGACATAAACTATTGAACAGCTAGAGAGTATAATAAATCAAATCCTAAGTTATTCAGTGGTACTTGTAAGATTTGTAAATGATTAGAGGTGTATAGAAACAGTTCTACAAATACCAGGTCTGGTTGCAGCTCCTGATCAGTGTTATACTCAGTGGCAGGCCCATATTTCTGGTCATGTACCTTGGGCGAGTCACATACTCTCAGCCTCAGGGGAAGGCAAACTCCCACCAAACAATTTTTTTAAAAAGATTATAGGGTCACCTTAGAGGTGCAATAAGATGGAAATGACTTAAAGGGAAACAGACACCACCATATGGAAAGTCATGACTGCCTGTGTGAATGTCCGCACCATGAAATCTGGTAAAAATTGGTAACCTGGGATTCCAGCTATTGAGTTTTTATTTTATTATTTGTTATTTTTATGTGTCCATTTTTGATGGCTATTATATGAGGAAATAGAAGGATGTCGTGTTATTCAAGGACAGGAGCCTAATAAACTCTGATAGTTGTGATAAGGAACCCTTCTTATCCAGCAACCTATGTTCTTGTTAGCACAGCATGGCATCTACATCTTTAGGTTTTGCCAAATTTAACTCTTTGGTCAACTTTATTAATTGAAGCCAATTAATTTTTTTTAAGTAAAATGTCATCTTCCATGCATTAACATTAAACTCCTAGCGGCATACTATTACTTTGTCTGTTAATATGTCTTTCATGTCTTGCAGGTTAACTTCTTCAAGGAGTTCTGTGCATTTTCTCAGACATTACAACCTCAAAATAGAGACACTTTTTTCAAAACTTTAGCAAAGTTAGGAATTCTTCCTGCTCTTGAAATAGTAATGGTAAGTTGAACACCTGGTAGTATTTGAGTTCTGTCTGTAATTCATTTAATATTTTCAACCATTGTAAGGATTTTTGATCTTTTTTACTGCCACACACATGCACATGTCTTGATGCTTGCAAGACATTTAAAATCGCAGTGCTTATCTTTGTGAATATTCAGTACGCATTTAAATGCATAGCTGCATCCTGTACTCTTAAAAATTTGTTATATAATTACAGAACTTGTATCTAAATTGCAACAAATATCTATGTAAAACTAGAAGGGGGATATTTAATGTTGTTATTAAAATAATCTGTTTTATAGATTTTTTTTCCTTTTCTCTGTTCTACTCTTTGTGTCATATTGATGTTCTTAATAGGCAAAGACTATATGTAACTTAGCAGTTTGAACCTAAAAGTAACAAAATTAGATGCCTTGATTTTTTTTAATGGGGAGATTTGGGGGGGGGGGCTGATCATGTGTATGAAGTTCACAAAATAGCACTAGGCTCAAACCTAATGTTAAATGCAACTATTCGCTTGTTTAATTTTTTTTAATTACTTTATTTTATTTTGATGCTTCTGGGTGTAAAATCCTTCATTTTAATTAAATTGGGTTGATTTCTATTTCAGGGTATGGACGATTTGCAAGTCAGATCTGCTGCTACCGATATATTTTCTTATCTGGTAGAGTTCAGTCCATCTATGGTCCGGGAATTTGTAATGCAAGAAGCCCAGCAGAGTGATGATGTAAGAAAGATAAAGCAGGTTTTCGTGATGCTTTTTTTATATAAGGATAGTAGCCACTCCAAAAGTCAAGTCCTTTATTATATAAAGCCAAAACAAGATTTCTTAGTTATTACAATCATGGCCATTTAATAATAATAATAATAATAATAATAATAATAATAATACACCTTATTTATATTCCTCTTTATCTCCCTGAGGGGAGATATACTGTATACAGATTACAGTATACACATATATAGGCAAACATTCAATGCCTTTTATACAATGAACAATGACATATAATACACAAACAAGGCAAAGGTTTCCCTTTCCGTCTCCAGTGTCTGGAGGTAATGCTCAACTCCAGACAAGGGGAGGTGCTCTTGTTCCATTTTCCATCCTGAGGGGTCTGTTGTCCCTCCTGGTTGCGTTTTGCCAGCATGGCTGTAGAGCACCTTTTACCTTCCCGCCGAGGCAATGCCTATTGATCTCCTCACATTGCATGTTATTGAATTGCTAGGTAGGCAGAAGCTAGGGCTGACAGCGGGAACTCACCCCAACCCGTGGCTTCAAACCACCAACCTTCCGACTAGCAAGTTTTTTTCTGCAGTGGTTTAACCTGCTGAGCTATCGTGGCCCCAATTTCAGTTGGTTAAGTTTGGGAAAAGAAATTGATAGTGATTGCATCTTTGGTTGAAGGAGTTCCTTATTGAGCTGAGACCCTTTCAGAAGTAATACTAATGCAGGGATGGGCAAACTTTGGCCCTCTGGGTGTTTTGGACTTCAACTCCCCTAATTCCCAAAAACCGATTGTTAGGAATTAGGGAAGTTGAAGTCCAAAACGACTGGACGGTCGAAGTTTGCCCATGCCTGCACTAGACCATAATGTGATGCTATATGAATATGACTGATGATATCTGAGCCAGGTGCTGAGCGTTTCCCTTCTTTTCTTTTGAACCAGGAATTTTAGCATAAAACTCTGGTAAGCTGTTGAACAAGTCATAGTTTCAAACCACCAAAGCTGACTTGTTAAGCTAATCAAGTTGCCTAGGCAAGTACAATAGTAAATAAGGATCCTTTGGGGCCCCTGGTGGCGCGGTGGGTTAAACCGCTGAACTTGCTGACCGGAAGGATCCGAGGAGCAGGATGAGCTCCTGCTATTAGGCCCAGCTTCTGACAACCTAGCAGTTCAAAACCATGCAAATGTGAGTGGATCAATAGGTATCAACTCGGCAGGAAGGTAAAAGGTGGGGGAAGGTAATGTCGATCCATGCAGTCATGCTGGCCACATGACCTTGAAGGTGTCTATGGACAACACCGGCTCTTCAGCTTAGAAATTGAGATTAGCACCACCCCCGAGAGTCAGACACGACTAGACTTAATGTCACAGGGAAACCTTTACCTTTTAAGGATCCTTTAAAATTGAATTTCGACTTAGCCAGAGTCAGCATCGCAGCCACGAAAGGAGAGAGGGAGCATGTAGCACTAAATTGTGGTTTGCTCTGACCCAGCCTGCTAACTAGTTGAGGTTGAAAGCACTATTTGAATAAACAGAATTCCTGAAGAGGCCTTCTGTGTGTGGGAAGACATACAAATGGACTGCCAGATACTCAACAACACTGAAACATATATATATTATTAGTATGGTTTGCATCACTTTAACTTACAATTGTAAGCCTTTGGGAGGCAATAATGTGGGTTGTAAGGAAGTCCCTTGTACAGGATCCCGGGCTGTGATAATACTTTTAAAAGTAGATAGTAAAGTTGAATGTGGTCAGTTAAGCTTCACATCCTAAAAGGTGTCTGAAAACTGTGGCTCCAGTTATAAGTAGCAGTCTCTCCAGTGGCTGCTTCCCCCTTTCATTCATAAATTGCCAAAAAGTTCTGCACTTCTAAATTGAGATCAGGGTGAGACTGTTCGGTGCATGATATTTTTATTCATAAGCGTGCCAAATATTTTTTTTCTCTGAGTTACAGAATTGGATGATACAGATTGGTAATGGACTGTGTGATCTACTCTTGTTACATTTCTGAAAGCAAAAGGTTAACCTTGTTTTGATTTGTTGCAGGATATCCTCCTCATAAATGTAGTCATTGAGCAAATGATCTGTGACACAGACCCTGAGCTCGGGGGCGCCGTTCAGTTAATGGGGCTCTTGCGTACCCTAATCGACCCTGAGAACATGTTGGCCACAGCTAATGTAAGAAAATGGAAAGGGGTAAAGAAACTTTACTGTCTAAGAAACATGTTGAACACAGTCTCCTTTTCTTTTGGCACATTTTTTGTGTCCTTTGCGTTCATAAAATGCACGGTGATGTTGCATTTCTGGTGAAAACAATTTGAAGCATGTGTTGTTGAAGGCTTTCATTGCTGGAATCACTGGGTTGCTGTGAATTTTCTCGGCTTTATGGTCTTGTTCCAGAAGCATTCTCTCCTGACATTTCACCCATATCTATGGCAGGTATCTTCAGAGGTTGAGGGATTTGTTGGAAACTAGGCAAGTGAGATTTATATATCTGTAAAATGTCTACGATGGGAGAAAGAACTTTTGTCTGCCTGAGTCAGGTATGAATGTTACAAATGACCATCTTGATTAGCATTCAATGACCTTGCATTTTCATGGTTTCCTCCTTTCTGTTGAAATTCTCCACATGCTTGTGGATTTCAGTGGCTTCTCTGTATAGTCTGACATGATAGTTGAACCAACTGGACACAGCATATTATTTGAAAACACAAAAATGCTGGACCACTCTAAAAACTATCATGTCAGACTACACAGAAAAGTCATTGAAATCCACAAGCATGTGGACAATTTCAACAGAAAAGAGGAAACCATGAAAATGAACAGAATCTGACTACCAGTATTTTAAAAACTCTAAAATTAAGACAGTAAATAAAGAGCAACACTCAAAAAACAGGGGAATTCCAGACAGGATACAATCAGGGCCAGCTAACACCTCCCAACAAAGGAACCCCCAGGCAGCAACCACCTGGCATTGAATCTGCAAGTCCATTCAGTGCCAATCAAGGTGTTCTTTTCCAACATTCACACCTGCCTCAAGTTCTTTCTCCCACCCTGGACATTCCACAGATACATATACCTCACTTGCCTAGTTTCCAACAGATCCCTGCTGTAGATGTGGGTGAAACATCAGGAGAGAATGCTTCTGGAACATGGCCATACAGCCCGGAAAACTCACAGTAACCCACTTTGAAGCATGTCTCTTTCTTTCTTTTTTTTACAAAACGTAATCATCCCTCGTAGATGAAATTAGACTTCTTAAGACTGGCTCACACAACAAGAAACTTATTTTGTTTACTCTTGCATGTGTCTTTTTATGTGCATGTAGCTTCTGTGTCTACATACTACATTATATTAAATGCAAACACCCATGTTTCACTGGTAACTGCTGCTGAGGACATTGAAAGACATCATGTAACACCCCATATATTAGTGTTTGAGGGCCACAACATTAATAACAAGTTATTTGGCAGGCAAAAACCTGTGACTGTGATAAAAATATAATCTACATTCCATTTAACAGATGGATCAAAGGTTTGATGTGTTGTCGAAGGCTTTCGTGGCCAGAATCACTGGGTTGCTGTGAGTTTTCCAGGCTGTATGGCTATATTAAATCCAAGGTTTAATTGCAGAGTACTACACAATATCCCAGAGTACTTGTAAGATATCAGTACAAACACAAAACAATCTATGTGTAATGTCAAAGTATATTATCAAAAGAGCATATAATATTCCATTTACCAAAATCCCCAGCACATAGCTCAATTCAGTGGTACACAGAAATCAAAAGGAGCAGCCGCTCTCAAACGTAACAGTTCTAGGTCTGGATAGGGATTCCACTGTATATAGGCTTCAGGGATACATTCAATGAGAAAAGTCATATAAACAAAGTAAGCATTGAGTCATGAGGCTATATGTAAACTGAAGACAATAATGAGGATGAAGCACCACTCTCAAAACAATCTTCATGGAAAAGATCCAACTCAAGTCCAGTGAAAAATGGAGCACTGCTTCTCAAAATAAGTCTTCAAAGGAAAGTCCCAATGGCATTCAACAGGGGTGCCCGGGTATTTTTGTACCCTGTTTCGGGGAAAGCAATCCCCTTCCTCAGGAGTTGATAAAGTCAGCAACTCTAGACTCTTATCTATAACAAAACTTGTCTGCCCAAGTTAGGATCTCTCAGTCTTTCTAAACCAGAAGACTGCCAAGGCAAAAATAAATATAATGTTCCAACATTTTCTCCTGGGCGGGAGAGAATATTAATAAAACTTCACATAAGGAATTTACTAACGTGTTTTAGCATATCTATGATGATAGATACAGTATCATCCAATTTTGCCTCATCCACTTGCTGCTTCTGCAGCTCTCTAAAGCAGTGTTTCTCAACCTCTGCTCCTTCAGGTGTTTTGGACTTCAGTTTCCAGGAATTCCAGCCAGTTTATCAGCTGGTAGGAATTGTGGGAGCTGAAGTCCAAAACATCTGGAGGAGCGCTGTTTGAGAAACACTGCTCTGAAAGATCCCTCCACTGTTTGCAGCACGTTTGGGGCCACAGAGCGAAAAAATGGGATTTATTGTCAATGGTGTCCCTTCTGATAGTGGACAGATATCAGTATATTTTTTCTGCACTTAGCGAGGAGGGAATCTTGCCTTTCATTATACATTTCTCAAATCAGATTACATTATGTTTGGAAGCCGCAAATAAATACATTTATATAGACGTTAAAAGACATATTTAAGTTAAGCAGGAGGCATTTCCTCAGCTCATTAAACCACAAAAACAGTAGAACAAACACCTAATTATTACACGGATTGCCCAAAAAGTGTTGCCTCCTGTGTCATAAAAACATTATGAATGAACATATAATAGCAGAAGTTGCTACAGATCATAGCCTGAACTGTCCTCTACAAAAAACTACATTTCAGCATTGTCACCTTCAATTAGTGCACATTTGTACCATCGTTTAACCCAGGCATCAAGACCATTTTGGAAACATTCAGGGTTTCGCTTTGTGATCCATGATTTTTAAGCTGTTTCAACATAATTCAAGTCTGGGTTGCTGTGAGCTTTCCGGGCTGTATGGCCATGTTCCAGAAGCATTCTCTCCTGACGTTTCGCCTGCATCTATGGCAGACATCTTCAGATGCTTGTTTTTCAGAGATCCAAAAAGGCAAAAGGCAGAAGTGGCCAAATCAGGGTTTTGAAACAGCTTTGATATAATGGGTCACGAAGCAAAACCTTGAATTTTTCCAAAATTGTCTTGATGTCTGCGTTAAACAATGGCGCAAATGTGTACAAATTGATGGTGACTATGTTGAATGGTAATTTTGCATAGAGGACCGTTCAGGCTATGATCTGTAGCAACTTCTGCTGTTACATGTTCATTCATAATGTTTTTATGACACAGGAGGCAAAACTTTTTGACCACCCTTGTTTGTTCTTTTTAAAAGAAAAAACATGAAAATTCCATGAAAACAGACAAAAAATGTCCAACTATACTGTTACTGATAAAGCTGGATTTCTGATTGCCACAAGGCAGAGTGCCCAGATTTTACACAAAGGTTATATGGTGTCTTTTCAGTGGTTCTCAGTATGTGTTTTGCAGGCATTGAATTTCACTTATAAGCTGCATGACCACATGTCCTTTTACAATATTTGCCTAATATATGTAATATTTTGTGTTGTTTTGTTTTTTTTCCAGAAAACAGAGAAAAGTGAATTTCTCAATTTTTTCTACAACCATTGTATGCATGTCCTCACCGCTCCACTCCTTGCCAATACATCAGAGGACAAAAATGACAAAGGTAAGGAATGGGGTTTTTATCTTGTCTTCCTTTAATCTTACCTTTTGTGCTAAAGTCAAAATCTGAAGGGAGGCTATGTTTAGTTGCGTTTTGCAAATTGATTGATTTGTACGAAGGCAATGCATGTTTTCATGCTCTGGTTTTATAAACCTGGACTGTTCTCTCATGTACAAAATATTAATGGATGGCTATGATCTTGCTCGTGTATCATTGTTATCATCACTGCCCTTAGCATTAGGAGCTAACATCGTCAGGGTTGGTACTTCCCTTGTTGCCTTCTAGGGCCAAAGAAGGATGCAAATGAAGAACAGTTTTTGAACAAATTCTTCCAAAAAACAGTATTTGCTGCGTCAAGCATGGGCAGACTTCGACCCTCCAGGTGTTTTGGACTTCAACTCCCACAATTCCTAACAGCCAAGCTGTTAGGAATTGTGGGAATTGAAGTCCAAAACACCTGGAGGGTCGAAGTTTGCCCATGCCTGCACTACATATCATTTGCTGTGAGATATGTTGCTGGACAGGCAGCCTGGTGTATTGTAGAAAACCTAGAATGAATTCATTAATGACAATAATCACTGAACCATGTTTGTGTACTGAATAATTTGTTGCTAGAACTGGAAAAAGATCTGCTTACTAAAGAAGCAATAGTCATCTGCATGAGTTCAAAGGCTAAGCCCACCCAATAATTCTCAGTAGAACGGTGGGTTTTCAAAAACAGACAGACAATACAGATGTGGAAAATTTGATTGCAGGCATAGCTGCATCATCCAAGTGACATGCTCTTTTGTGCCATAGAGAATGGCACTTTTTGGGGGGTCCTTTCCACAGCAGAGACTATTTTGTTGTTGAGAGGAGAATTGTACTTCAGGCTGTTAGGAAACTCTTAAGACATCATGCAGATAAATAAGAATAGCTGTTTGTCTTCAGGATTTATGTCTGTTTCCTGATTTGCAGAGTTTACAATAAGATTTTTTAAATTTGGAAGTGACAATGATAGCATTTTAGGATACAGACATTGTACTACTACTACTACTACTTATTATTATTATTATTATGATTATTATTATTAGGTAAAAAGGCAAGAAGATCTGTGACCTATATAAAACAATTCTTCTGCCTCATAAGAATGAATTTTTCTGGCTCCGGGTATTTCATTATTATGGAATACACTTCAGTCTATATGCAGAAACGTTTCTCTGACATGGAGTATTTTTATTCCCTGTAATACATTGAAATTCCTGTGGGGGGGGGGGGTTCCATGTCAGCAGCGAAACTGCAAGTCGCTTCTGATGTGTGAGAATTGGCCGTCTGCAAGAACATTGCCCAGGGGACGCCTGGATATTTGATGTTTTTACCATCATTGAGGGAGGCTTCTCTCACGTCCCCAGATGGGGAGCTGGAGCTGACAGAGGAATCTCAACCCTCTCTCCCTGGATTCGAACTGCTGACCTGTCAGTCAGCAGTCCTGCCGGCACAAAGGTGTAATGCATTGCTCCTCCAGGGGCTCTTGTGGGGTCATGAAGTACCCCTGAAGTCTGTCCATAAACATGATAGATTTTTTCATTCATGTGGAGGAGGATTAAATGTCATTTCAATATTATCTGTGTTTGAACGTTTTTGGAAAACAGAAAATTCTCCATTGAAAAAGTTTACAGATCTGTCCACAACCATGGGGCCAATTTGCATATGTGCATTTGTTTGACATCCACTTTTAATGGGTTTCCCTATGCTGCTGTTATACAGGATTGTGAAGAATGGAGTTAAACACAAAAGAGGGTAGACTTGTGATGCTATATGTCCCAAATTGGTGGGTGGTCTAGAATGTTGACCTCTTGACCAAAAACATTTTGTGTGTGCCTATAGTAACTTACCATGGAACTTATGGTGTTAAATCTTTTCACTTTTCATAAGATGCGGTAGTTGGAGGCAACAAGAGTAATACCATTTGCCCAGGTACGTGTTGGGTTTTGTGGGTACACACCAGTCATGGTGTGACTGGGGTGGAGTTCTAAATTGAAATTTAATGGATGGATAGAAACAGCCTTTACTAAAAATCCATTTGCTTTAGCCAATTGGGCGGGAGGGGGATTTAAAATATCCTCTAAATGTGACTAACTGAACATACCTTATATAAAAAGTCATAGTTTCAGTACCTAAACAACATTTTTGGTGGCCATTTAAGAATGGCTATTTTGCTTGTTGGGGAAAGTGGAGTGGGGAACCAGTAACTCGAAGGGATATTGAATACCTTATTATGTTTGCACAATGCCCCAAAAGGATTCCAACCAAATTTTGAATAAAAAAACTCACCTGTCCCCTTTTGTTTGTTTGTATGGGCAAGCATTCACCGAGTTCTATAGTTTTCATTCTCTGAGTCCATCTAAAAGAGTGGGAAAATTAGACTCCATTTATCATACTACAGTTGCAGCGTCTGCAAATATTAAATTGATTTGAATCATTCCTCCAGCGCAGGATTATGCATAGATTCCTTTATCCCTAGGTCCTCCTTGGTGCGAAGCATCAGAAAATGGGGCCTTCAGAGTTGCCCAACTTCACTCACTGAGCTCTATGCATCCATGGTGTACACCTTAATTACCTTCTGTGTAGACTTATTTGTGGTCAGATTGGTCCTCCACATATATAAGTTTAACTTCCATGAAATTGATTATTCACAGATTAGATTAATATGGTCTTTCTAGTAATCTAGTAAGTCCTCTAATATGATCCTGTGGCCATATAATTGTTTAATAAACATGGCTGAAATCCCAGTTCATAGCTTGAGATCCCTGTCCTGAAAAAAGAGTTTTTGATGGTGAGAGCACATTAAATTTGAGGAAACCTGGCTCCTAGGCTAATACTGCATTTCTTCAAGTATAAGACAAACTCTGTTCCTATATAAACGTCTCTAAAAATGGCATGCATCTTAGAATCTCTGGTGTACCTTGCGTATTTTGTTGGTGGTGCTACTGAAATTAGCCTGCATTTTACAGTTGAAGGGATCTTACAATTGAAGAAATACAGGAATTTCTTTATTCATTATAGTTTGCAGAATCATAGAGTTGTAAGAGACCTTTTGGGCCAACCAGTCCAACCCCCTGCCAAGAAGCAGGAATATCGCATTCAAAGCATCCCTGAAAAATGGCCATCCTTCTTCTGTTTAAAAGCTTCCAAAGAAGGAGCCTCCACCACATTCTAGGGCAGAGAGTTCCACTGCTGAAAAGTTGTCACAGTCAGGAAGTTCTTCCTAATATTCAGGTGGAATCTCCTTTCCTGGAATTTGGAGCCATTATCCCACATCCTAGTCTCCAGAGCAGCAGAAAATAAACCTGGTTCCTCTTCGCTATGACTTCCCTCACGTATTTATACATGACCATCATGCCTCCTCTCAGCCTTCTCTTCTGCAGGCTAAGCATGCCCAACTCTTTAAGCCACTCTTCATAGGGCTTGTTCTCCAGACCCATAATAATTGAGTCTCCCTTCTCTGGACACATTCCATCTTGGTAACATCTCCCTTCCATTGTGGTGCCCAGAATTGGACAGAGTATTTCAGGTGTCTTTCCAAGGTTCTTTGTTGGCTGAGTTTTTTGTGTATTTTTTTGCAGACAACTACCAAACAGCACAGCTGCTTGCCTTAATTTTGGAGCTGCTCACGTTTTGTGTGGAACATCACACATATCACATCAAGAACTACATTATGAACAAGGACTTGCTGCGACGAGTTTTGGTCTTGATGAATTCAAAACACACTTTTTTGGCGCTTTGTAAGTAGTACCAAGAAATGAGCGGTTGTTGGTTTTTTTGATAGCTTGTTAAACCCTTCCTTTGAATAAACAAGAGGAAGAAGGATGGACTTGGGATTTTTGGAAGTTGGAATTTAATATTCATGTTTTCCAATAATTTCTGCATCTCTTTTTTGAAAAGTATTTTCTTAACCAGCAACCTTTAACCAGGTTCCTTAAACATCCAGAAATTTTGTACCACAGCTTCCAGAATCCTTGCCTATTGGTCATAATGGCTTGTACTGATTGTAGCTGTAGTCCAAAATGTTGGGGGATTTGAAGTTTATGAAGGCTGTTCTAGACCTCATAGTTTGAAAGAGACGATCTGGTAATAAGTCAAGAACTGGGAAATAGCTTAGGTAAATATATATTTATTACACAGCCCAACAAGAACAACAATAATTCTTGGTGTCTGGGTTTTAAGGCCTTTTCCTGGGGTTCTTTGGGGCGCTAATCAAGAAAATGGCATTAGCTGTAGTTTCTTAGATATAGTTATAATGGTTTTTATGAGCAATTAGATTTATTTATTTATTATATCAGGAGCAGACCAAACAGTTGCATTGCATTTTTAACAAACAAGCAAATAAACAAAACATAAAATTTGCAAGCTAAATGCCATGTTTTCTGTATCTCAAAACTAGAGCTGCTAAGGGAAAACTGGCACTATTTTTTTTTGGATCAGCAGGTCAGCTGTACCCAGAAACAGGGCTAATAATTGAGACACCAAAATGTATGTTGGCCAGTGTTATTTTTAGATCATTTATTCCAAGGCGGTTTACAAATTTCTAATTTGATAGTTCCTTGCCCACAGGATTTCAGTCTAAAAGTAGCCAAAAGTTGGAGTTTGGTGCCCATTTTGCATACTATGTCCTTGCCATGGTTAGTGGAAGGACAATTAAGTTACGCAGAAAGAGAAAGGCTTGCATATGCATAATTTATACATGCCCTCAAATCTCCTTTTCTTGGCATTTCTGTAATAATCTTCTTTTGGAGCACAAGATTGCATTTTGTCAGTCAGGTCTTACTGTTGCCTGCTTAGGGAAAACAATATTGTGCCCCTAAAAACATGTCAACTTTTCACTATTTGGTAAAAAGTTCCCATTTATTCTGCTACTATTTTGAGTGCAGTCCTCATCAGACTCAGATGCAGGAGGCTGAGGCTACAAGCAGAACAGCAGGAACCAGAGTAGAGCTTTTCACAGGAATGGGCTGCTGAGAAGGCAAGCAGAGATCCAATTATGGAAACAGAGGAAGAGCTTCTGCCAGCTCTGGCTCAGTCATCAGAGCCCTCTGATGTAGCAGCATTGCTGGCACAGGAGAAGAAGAAGTTATTCTGATGACGTAGTTTGCCTCTATTGGGAAAATAGGGTGGTCTTCTGAAAGGGAAAGGCAAAACAGTTTCCTTTCTCTTGGCTGGAAGCTCCATTCTGATTGTCAAAATTAAATGCTCGTTACCATGGTGATCATATTTTGCCTCTTGGTTGGCATACCTTAATGCAACCTTTTTGCTGAAACTCTCTTTCTGTTCAGATTATATAAATCAGGCATGAGCCCCCGGTGGCGCAGTGGGTTAAACCCCTGTGCCGGCAGGACTGAAGACTGATAGGTCGCAGGTTCAAATCCGGGGTGAGGCAGATGAGCTCCCTCTATCAACTCCAGCTCCTCATGCAGGGACATGAGAGAAGCCTCCCACAAGGATGATAAAAACATCAAATCATCTGGGCGTCCCCTGGGCAAACGTCCTTCTCTCACACCAGAAGCGACTTGCAGTTTATCAAGTCGCTCCTAAAACGACAAAAAAGGGCAAACTTGGGCCCTCCAGGTGTTTTGGATTTCCACCATTCCTAACAGCCTCAGGCCCCTTCCTTTTCTTCCTCAACCTCCTCCAAAACACACAGAAGGCCCAAATTTGCCCATGCCTGATATAAATAGTCAAATGCAAGCTAATAGGAGGATTACTCAATACAAGATTTTCACTACAGACAAAAAAAAGAGATTCTTAAAACATTTCTTGACCTTATCATAGGTGCTCTTCGTTTCATGAGGAGGATAATTGGCCTGAAGGATGAGTTCTATAACCGTTATATCACCAAAGGAAACTTGTTTGAGCCAGTAATAAATGCTCTTTTGGATAATGGAACCAGGTACAATCTTCTGAACTCAGCGGTGATTGAACTTTTTGAATTCATTCGAGTGGTAAGTTTTGCCATGGCGTCATTCCGTTTCACCTTAGAACAGAATATCTGGACTCCACATCTTGATGCAAAAGGTGTGAATGTGTCAAATATGTAAAAAGCAAAATATTGTGTGTGTATAGCAGTAGTTCCCAACCTTTTTTTGACCAGGGGTCGCTTTGACCACTCTCCAACATTAGTACCAAAAGGGTTACGAATCAGTTTTTGATCAACTTTAGATTTGCTTTGGATATTCGAGGTGCTGATTCAGAAAATTGCATTGAATAGACCACATCAGCTCTAGTTTCTGATCACTAGTCGCCATCTGCTCACCCACAGAAAAATCATATTTAATAAGTCTCCGCCCTATAAGAGGGTTTTGTGAGACCAGTCACTCTCATTGCAACAGTTTAGTATCGGTGAGGCCGCGGACCATATTTTAGTTCTTGCAGACCACTGGTGGTCCATGGACCACAGGTTAGGAACCACTGATATATACATATAGAGAGAGAGAGAGAGAGAGCAAGAATCTTTATTTAAGATTAGTTGACATACCTTGAGCAAACTGTAACCCCGAGTCTTGGTATATCTAATCTGTAGAATGAATGCAGTTTGATACCACTTTAGAACCACTTTACAACCATGATACCACATGGTTCAATGCTGTGGAATCCTGGGATTTGTAATTTCACTGTTTGGTGCAAGAGATGAGCTGAACTTAAAACAAGTTTTGTTGAGTGATCTCAAGGTGACAGCCTCTCAGAATATATTCATAAATTTAAGATAGAGATGTTTTGGATTCTTTCTTTTTTTTTTTAATAGCTGCAAAATTTATTATTGAATATTGGTGAGCCTCACCATGCACCCTGTCCCATTTCTTTCAACCCCTTTTATAAACAATGTAAAACCTGAAGTGGGGAAGTTTAAATAACCCTAAACTTTGTTTTGCCTTCATGCAGGAAGATATCAAGTCACTTACTGCACATATAGTTGAAAACTTTTATAAGGCACTTGAATCCATTGAATATGTTCAGACGTTCAAAGGATTGAAGACAAAATATGAGCAAGAAAAGGACAGACAAAGCCAGAAATTGAACAGGTACATTTTTTGGAAGTTAAATATAAATTAGCAAGAATCATTGAACGGACTTTGTTGTGCGTTTCCTGTGGTGTTATTGTCTTGCTAGGTCTGTTAGTAGTACTGTGACTTTGACCTTTCTTTCTTGTAGAAAATTCTGGATACCTAGCAAAAGATGGGTTTTTTTATTAGCTCAGGCATTTTGGTATTTAATCTGTTTCACTGCCCAGAGATATGAGTCAAAGATTTCTGAATCTTGAAATCTTTTTTCCTTGCTTGCTTTGAAAACAAAAGATCAAGGAACCAGGTTTGTGCTACAGACATAGGGAAGATGCTTTTAATACTATTTGGATGAGTACATCTTTGTTTTATTGTTGTGCCAGGCATCCTGGGGGCTAGTGTTCTTTGCACTACAAATAAGATATGTGCAGTATGCATAGGAACTCATTCATGTTTTTTGGGGGGGTTTTTTTGGTCAAATTATAATCTGGCCCTCCAACAGTTTGAAGGACTGTGATCTGGCCCTCTGTTTAAAAACTTCGAGGACCCCTGCTTTAAAGCATAGGTTCTTTTTACTACAATTTTCCAGTAAGAGAAAGGGTATCAGAACTTTTACAGAACAACATTTAGACATACGGATTCTATGTAACTACATTGAATTCACAAACAATCTATAGTTACATTGGCTAACATACAAACAAAGAGGATTACATTTTTACTTAGCATTCACTTACCCATAGAAGCATTCATCAATCACCATGCATACATCACTATTTCACCATTCTGTTTCCCTGCAAATCTGCCAACACGCTGTTCCAAAACTTCCAAAATGCTTGTAAAATGCCAAAACGCACACTTTCTCTTCTCTTGAGAAAAGGAGCCCAAGTGACCAGAGTGCGTTCCATTGCAGATCTACCACTCCCAAATACACCATCTCTTTTGAGCATCTCTGGTAGACTCCTCTGGTCTACCACAATTTTTGGATTGTAATAAGGTCCCTTATATAGCAACATTTTGCTGATGTTACTTCCAAAGTTGTAAATGAACGATTAGATGTTTTCCCAGCCTGAAACATGTTGATTCCACCAGTTCCTGGACAGATTTTGACTTTGCTTAATTAGTTTTCCTTCTCAAGGAGCTTTGTTTGCTTCCTTTGTAATGTAGGGAATCTGAACCCAAGTTAAGGTATCCAAAATATTTTATTTACTACCACAGTTTGTAGTATCCATGTTGTGGTCAAATGCATCTCCCAATAAATCAAATACCTTGGTTTGATCTGGGAATCACAGACTCACTTTAGGATGATACGAGAAAGACTTTCCCTGCCTCCAGTTGGTTCCCTTGTGCGGCTGAAAGATCTGTGGAGAGGGGCCAAAGTACAAGTGTTATCTGTGAAAAAATACTGTCAGGATTTAACTTCCTGCTAGGATTTCTGTGTTATATTAACAAACGAGCTGGCTTCGGTGCCTTCTATCACTGCTGCTTTTTTAAAATTTTGAAACTCTCTGGGTGTATTTTACAGTGTCCCATCTATACTGCGTAGCAACAGGTTTCGCAGAGATGCCAGGACCTTGGAGGATGACGAGGAAATGTGGTTCAATGAAGATGAGGAAGAGGAAGGCGAGGCCATCGTTCCCCCCGGAGAGAAATCCAAGGCGGAGGACGATTTCCCAGAGAGCTATGAGAAGTTCATGGAAACAAAAAAAGGTACTTCCCCCTCATTTTTGCAGAATGTAAATAGGATTTTCCATGACGATCATCATGGCAAAATGGAAGAGCCACAAACAATACCAAGCATTGGAGAAGTTTCCAGCAGTCATGGCTGGAAAGAAAAGAGCAGAAAGTACTGGAATATTGAGTCAAAGTGAAAGTCACATTCCAGTGGGGGGATTTCAGTGTTTGTGGAGACTGAGGTCTTTTAGATCTCTTCCTTATTTTTTATTATTATTATTATTATTATTATTATTATTATTATTATTATTATTTGTCATGTCAGGAGCGACCTGAGAAACTGCAAGTCGCTTCTGGTGTGAGAGAATTGGCCATCTGCAAGGACGTTGCCCAGGGGACACCCAGATTATTTGATGTTTTTATCATCCTTGTGGGAGGCTTTTCTCATGTCCCCGCATGAGGAGCTGGAGCTGATAGAGGGAGCTCACCCGCCTCTCCCCGGATTCAAACCTGCGACCTGTCGGTCTTCAGTCCTGCCGGCACAGGGGTTTAACCCACTGCGCCACCGGGGACTCCATATTTATTATTATTATTTACAGTATTTATATCCTGCCTGCAGGGGACTTAGGGCAGATTACAGTGCACATATACATAGCAAACATTCAGTGCCATAGACACACAATATATATAAACAAACAGAGGCAGTTTAAGCTTCATGAGGGTATGCTCGAATTCCGGCCACCGGGGGAGCTGTCACTTTACGGTCCACGTGTGACACCGAATCCTTGATGGAGTACTTCCTCATTCGTTTGCCCGCTGCTGGAGATTTTTATGGTGTCGTAAATTAGTTAAATTAACCTCCATGCATAAGCAGTACCTAAATTTCCTATTTGACAGATGCAACTGTCTTTCAGGCTGCAAAGGTCGCCAACAAGCTAGACAATGATCAGGAGCTTACTCCAACCCGATCTGGCTTCGAACTCATGACCTTTCAGTCAGTGGTGATTTAATGCAGCTAATTCCTAGCCAACTGCGCCACAGCCTGGTCTTCCTTGACCTCTGACCCTTCTTTTGGAGGGAAGCATTTAAACCAGGCTTTCAGCTCCTCCTAGTTCAAGAAATAGAATGACAACAAAACAAAAATTTCCCTTCTTACGATGTTGTATCCCACTCCTTTTGGTATCCCAACCTGTATGGCTTCACACCACAGCAAAGAGAGTGACGTTGCTGCTCCTTGTTAAAATTTATTCTAGAAAGGCCCAGAATTTGTTGATACTCTGTAGTTTCCGGTTCTGCTTAAAACACGTTTTATTGGTTTACACTGAAGACATTTTTGTACCTGTGATCCATTCATTCACACACACCTGATCATACAAACAGTAGTTGTTCTGGCCCAACTTACCTGTCCAAACGTATCTCCCCTTACGAACCACTGAGGACTTTAAGATCATCTGGGGAGGCCCTGCTCTTGGTCCCACTTTTGTCACAAGCACGTTCGGCGGGGACGAGAGACAGGGCCTTCTTAGTGGTGGCCCCTCGGTTATGGAACACCCTCCCTAGGGAGATCAGATCTGCTCCCTCCCTCTTGACATTTCAGAGGCAAGTTAAAACATGGCTTATGTTGGTATAATGTGCTTTCTGGAATATTCTGTGTCAATAATGCTAAAAGGAATTGAATTGCCTAGTTGATTAGTATTTCTTCCAGTGTCCCTTTAGTAAAAAAAAAAAAAGTAGGACCATTGGATATGTTGCCTCTTAATAGATCCTTTGTTTCTTCTGCCATGTTCAATTTGAGAATCCTTCTGTTTCCCTCTTTAGCGAAAGAGAGTGAAGATAAAGAGAATCTCCCCAAAAGGACTTCAGCGGGTGGCTTCAAATTCACTTTTTCCCATTCTGCCAGCGCCACGAATGGAGCAAACAGTACAAACAGTAAATCAGTAGCAGCTCAGACATCACCAGCAAGTTCAAATGGTTCCTCTTCTAAGAATGCCAATTTGACTGCAGCCGTCACGGCCACGAAGGTGAAGTGTTTATGAAAGCAAGGGTGGCGCGGGAATGTAATGTGAGGGGAAGCATGCTCCAAGCATCCATCAATTCAGAATGAACCCTTACTCAGTTTGTAAAATTATCTTGGTGAAGGGACATTATGGGATGTCCCCCTGTGCTAGTCTTCAGTGACATTCTCCAACTTGCACTCCCCAAAAGCCTTTCATACATTGTATACATATATAGGGCCCAGAATGGGGCCCAGATTAAGATGAACATTTTTTTAAACAACACTTAAGTGTGTGGTTTCAGTTTGTGAATTGTTGGTTTGAGGTAATTGTTAAGTCTTTCAGGGGCTTCCAATAAGAGAAGGCGGGATGAAACATTTCAGAAAGAGTACTTACCCAAAAGCATCATTAACAGTGTCACACAAAAGAAGTTCTTGTTAGAGGTGCATAGCAGTAAAAAAAAAAATGGGTTGCTGTGAGTTTTTCAGGCTGTATGGCCATGTTCCAAAAGCATTCTCTCCTGATGATTCACCCAAGGGGTCTGTTGGAAACTAGGAAAGTGAGGTTTATATATCTGAAATGTCCAGGGTGGGAGAAAGAACTCTTGTCTGCTTGAGGCAAGTGTGAATGTTACAATTGACTGCCTTGAATAGTATTTAATGGCCTTGCAGCTTCAAAGCCTGGCTGGTTGCTGCCTGGGGAAATCCTTTGTTGGGAGGTGTTAGCTGGCCCTGATTGAGTCTTTTCTGGAATTCCTGTGTTTTGAGTGTTGCTCTTTATTTTCAGTCCTGATTTTAGAGTTTTTTTAAAACTAGTAACCAGATTTTGTTCATTTTCTTGGTTTCCTCCTTTCCATTGAAATTGTTCACATGCTTGTGGATTTCAGTGGCTTCTCTGTGTAGCCTGACATGGTAGTTGTTAGAGTGGTCCAGCATTTCTGTGTTTTCAAATAATATGCTGTAAGTTGGTTCATCAGGGGCTCTGCTATGGCTTACTTCTCTGGTTAAGTTAGTCTGCAGTGCCTTTCATGTTCCTTGATTCGTTTTCAGTCAACGCTGCGCTTGGGATCCCTATGTAGACTTGTCCACAGCTACATGGTATAGACTGCAGAGATGAGAGAATCCTTCTTAACCTTTGCTGAACGTTGCATTACTGAATGCTTCTAGAACATGGCCAATACAGCCCAGAAAACTCATAGCAACCCAGTGATTCTGGCCATGGAAGCCTTCAAGGACAAATTGAAAAAACCTGAAGGTTGTGTCAGTAAATGGCTGCTTTTGTTAACAGTTTTCAACCCTGGGGGTGTTTCTGACACTGTTAATTTCCAGTTGATGCTGGGCCTTTCAGTTCAAATGCCTGCCTGAAACTATTTAGTTCTTGTTTAAGCCAACCCTAAATCGGAGGGACATTTTTTATTAATATTCAGTAATATTTTTGATGGTGCAAATGCTACTTGTGCCATACACAAGCCTTGCTTGCTGTAATATATAAGTCTGTGCATGCAAAATGGATTTCTTAAAATTCCTTCTGGGTTATAACAGAAGATCCATCAAATCCAGCATTGATTTTGCCAGTGCTGTGGTGCCTCCCTTTCCACTGCAACATTTTGCAGAGGGTTCATGGGAAATCTCTATGGATGCCACTCTCCTCTTAAGTGGCTTCCAGTTGCCATTCTGAAATTCCCAATAAATTTTGTTTTGGGCAGTGCATTCACTATTCATTATTGACAGCTGCCTAGATTAATTTGAGTGGAATTCTACATACAATATTTTGTATATTTAATGTGTAGTAAAGGCAAAGGTTTCCCCTGACATTAAGTCTAATCATGTCCAACTAGGGGGTGGTGCTCATCACCATTTCTTACCCAAAGAGCCAGCGTTGTCCATAGACACCTCCAAGGTCATGTGGCCAGATGACTGCATTGAGTGCCATTAACTTTCCGCAGAAGCGGTACCTATTGATCTACTCACATTTGCATGTCTTCAAACTACTAGGTTAGCAAAAGCTGGGGCTAATAGTGGGAGCTCACCCTGTTCCCTGATTCGAACCATCAACCTTTCAGTCAGCAAGTTCAGCAGCTCAGCGGTTTAACCCACTGCACCACCAGGAGCCCCTATTTAGTGTATAGTGGGTGAATAAATCTCTGCAGACTTTCCCCTCTGAGATGTGAGGAGTTGCTATGTTTTCCCTTCACATACCAGTTGACCAGTTAATTGTTCCCGAGAGTTCTTTTCAAATGTAGGTTTTTCCTTTCCATTCCACAGGGAAGTCTAGTGGGCCTTGTGGATTATCCTGACGATGAGGAAGAAGACGAAGAGGAGGAAACGTCCCCGAGAAAAAGACCTCGCCTTGGCTCTTAAAGTCCCGAAACAAACTGTAACTGAGGGTGCTCAAATGCTGTGACTGAACTACATAGTCTGACTCAGAAAGCTTTCTCCCTGGAAAATACATGAGAATACAAGGAGTAGCAGAAGAAAACTCGACTACTAGAAGGGTTTAGTTCTGAGAACATCAGGCTTCCAAAGAATCTAATCTCTTTCTAGCCAACGAGAGTCTGCCATTCAGGCTGTTAAATATTAAACTGAAACGGCGGGTTCGTCATCCGCACCTCGACGACAGCTTGCCCGCGAAAGGATCATCTCTGGTTCTGTGAAGGGATGGGGTTGGGATAAGTAACTTTTTTTGATATTGCAGGGTTTGCCCAGTTTGTATTCAAGCTAGAAGAAGAAGAAAAATTGTAAGGCTTCAGTTGCAAACCTAATAACCTAACTTTGTAATGGTGCTGTCCATTGTGGGGAGGGGCTTAAAGCAATCGCCTCTTAAACGATACCATTTCCTTTCTATAATCAAATAATAATTCAGGCCTTGGGGACCACTGTTTGCACAGTCAGCCAAATTATAGAGGGTAGCATCCCTTCTCTTCTTTAGTGCATGTCGAGTGGTGAATTTATCTCCCCCCCCCCCCCCCAATTCTGTATTTTGGAAGGAGGAAAGCTGGGTTTAAAATGGAAGATGAGTATTAGCTGTCTAGGAAAACCAATACAAGAAACATTCATTCAGATTTTTTTTTAAAGAGACACCATCGATAAACCCTAGTCCTTGGAATAGCATTTGAGGTGCAATGCTAATAATGTTTTATGGAAGCCAAGGTGAACGGAGTTACTCCCTGCGAGCTTCAGGAAAGGTTTTCCTCGAGCCGTCGGCATTTAACGTTTGGAAGAGTAACGTCCGCCGCCGTGTTGGGAAATGCTGCCCGAAGGTTTTGAACCCTACGGATTTGGGGGTGCAGTAGTTTTTGAGTAGTTGCCGATTTGGAGGCAGAGTCAGCATGCAGCACCTTGAACCTAGAGGGTTTTGAGTACGACGGCTGCTTCTTAACACATTCCATGTATTTAAGCAAATTTCAAAAAAGACAACACACACTTAGGTGAATGGATGGAGTCAACCATTTTTGAGACCTTTTTATTTTTCCGAGCGAGCGAACTGTAAATATTTTACTGTTAGTTTGGCCATATATGATCTGAGATCATGCAGAATGAATTCCCCAAACTACAAATTGTGTTGGAAAAAAAAAAGAGTGATTTGAACAATGAAAACCAGCAGCAATCCATCACTATCAATCACTCTTGCGATGTGTCATGGGTCCATTTCTCCCGAAACAGTGCTGACAAGTTCCCCTCTGTTTTGGAGATTTTTGTAGTTAATTTTAATTTTAGCAATCGTTTGCAAAAAGATGGGCTGTCTCTGTGTAGATATGAAGTATAGTTTTTTCCATGAAACAGAAGTTTATTTTGTATTGAGAAGACGAAGAAGAAAAAAACCACTGTACTTGTTTTACACCATTTGTATACATGTGGTAATATTAATGAACTGTAAAATTCAGGAATTAAAATGTGACCCTGTAATTCCATAATTATTGGTTTTGTTTGGTTTGTTGTAAATGGTAAGTTAATTCAGATTTTTTTTTTTTTTTGAAACGTGGCCATTTTAGAGGATTTTAATGAGGATAGTTATTTGTACAATTTAATCAAATGCTACTGAATCAAATCCGGAAAGGGGGGAAAAAAGCAAAGAGTCCTAGATTTGGTTCAGTGTGCCGTGATGACTGACCGTTAATGTGGCCTGACGACCACCTCTCTTGCCCTCTGGGGGCTCCAGGCAACCAAGAATGGGGCTTCCTTCTCGCTCCGGCCGAGTCCCTTGTTTGAAGGAAAGTCTGGGGAAGTCCTTTGGCTGGTTCAATGGAGTTACTAGGTAGACTTGCCGACTTAACATCCGCCATCCATTTACTCTTGGCAGGTCTTCCCTTCACCTTTACAGAGGGAAACTTCTCCCCAAAACCTGTATAATTTCCTTAAGAAAACCGTATGCGCCCCAATTTCCCTTCAGAAAGAAATCCACCAGCCCTCTCTCCAGCTTTTTAATCAGTCACTGAAAAAGACCCAAAGCACAATTGGATCTTCCTCAATCCTTTTCAAAGACTGTTAGGAGCATTCAGTTACGTGGAGACGTAATCAAGAAAGCAAAAAAATAGTAATTCCTTTTTATAGTTTAATATAAACAAAACAATGACCCTCCAACCAATATTGGAACCTTTTCAAGAGCTGCGGAAGGTGCGCTTAGCTCCTCCTTTCCGAGTCCCACCGTCTGCCTCAGGTGCGCTTGCCCTCCCGGAGGCTCCCCGCCTCCTTTTCAGTACTTTTCTGCCACAGGACAGCCCACATTTCAAATGCCTGGGGCCCTTCAACCGATTTTTTAAAGAGAAAGATTGCATCTGCCAACATGTCTCAGTTAAATACTATTTTAATAAAAAGTTAAATGAAAACGTGGCTGGCCTGTGTTTTTACTGTGTTGGAGGGAAGCAGCGATGGAGAAGTCAGAGTGGTTCCAAACTGTGAGTGGAATACAGATATTCATCATTTCATCGTGTGCCAAACCCAAACAAAAGTTAAAAGCGATCCCTGTAGTACAGTGTTTCTCAACCTGGGGGCCTGGACCCCTGGGGGAGTCACAAAGGGGGTGTCGGCAGGGTTGCCAGAGACCGTCAGAAAAACATAGCATTTTCTATTGGTTATGGGGGTTCTGTGTGAGAAGTTTGGCCCAATTCTATCGTTGATGCAGTTCAGAATGCTCTTTGATTGTAGGTGTACTATAAATCCCAGCAGCTACAACTCCCCAATGTCAAGTTCTATTTTCCCCAAACTCCACCACTAGTCACATTCAGGCATATTGAGTATTCATGCCGAGTTTGGTCCAGATCCATCTTTGTTTGACAGTGCTCTCTGGATGTAGGTGAACTACAACTCCAAAACTCAAGGTCAATGCCCACCAAACCCTTCCAATGTTTTTTGTTGGTCATGGGAGTTCTGTGTGCCAAGTTTGGTCCAGTGAATGAAGATACATCCTGTATACCAGCTATTTACATTACAATTCATAACAGTAGCAAAATTACAGTTATGAAGTAGCAACGAAAATAATGTTATGGTTGGGGGTCACCACAACATGAACTGTATTAAGGAATTGTGGCATTAGGAAGGTTGAGTAACACTGCTGTAGTAGCAGATCTAGACTTCTGTTAAACGCACAAATAATATTGGGATGTAGTAAGCTCACATTATACAGCTGCCAAATCCAGTTACACATGTCGCTTGTGTACTAGTGCTGCTGTACAGCTGGATTGCTATCTTAAGTTCTACAAACTCAACTAACTTCTGTTGTTATCCCATCTAAATGGGTACAAGAATGGGGAGTTCTTCCACTGGCCATCTGCAAACTCACAATACAAGTTTCTGTACTTGCCCAGCAATGGTCAGGATTCTCTAGAGCTTAAAAAATCATCCAGATTTCATGGCCATAGAGCCTTCAACAACACAATCATCTAGATGCTAGCTTCATCTGCTCCCTACTGCACATATCCCAAATCACACAGTATGATACTACGATGAGGAAGCAGCACCATGTGAGAAGCTGTGGGAATTCAAAGACCCATATTTGCAGGTGAGCAACCTGTTATTTGCGATACAGGACACATTATCAAAAAGTACTGATGGGTAGAAGAAGATGGTTCAATGTAGCTGAGAATAGTGTAACCAAGCAATACCTCATTCCTGGATCTTGCAGCAATATTTCAATGGATTAATGTCAATGGTGTTGACACTATTTAATTGAGCAGAACACCCTGGAGAGAAGGCATTGATGGAGCTCTGGCTTAGCAAATGGTTGCAGCGATCAGTCTTCCAGTGGGGTTTAGTCCCATCAATGAAAAGCAACTTGGCCCTTCTGGCATCAAGGGAGTAGAGGCATGCTTCTTTGTCACACATTGCAATAGGAATGAACATAGGGCTGCCCTCTATGGAAAATGAGAAATGTCTGAGGGTGCAGGAAGAGTTGCAGGAAGAGATCCTCCTACAATAGAGCCAATGTTGACCCATCTTGTAAGTGATGGTATTAAAGGCCCTAAACTCAGCTAGGTGTCTCCTGGTCTTGGTTGTGTTTTCAACTCACTCTCTGCTTCATAGAATCATAGAATCCTTGAGTTGGAAGAGACCTCGTAGGCCATCCAGTCCAACCGCAGTCTGCCAAGAAGCAGGAAAATTGCATTCAAAGCACCCCTGACAGATGGTCATCCAGCCTCCATTTAAAAGCCTCCAAAGAAGGAGCCGCCACCACACTCCGGGGCAGAGAGTTCCACTGCTGAGTAGCTCTCACAGTCAGGAAGTTCTTCCTAACGTTCAGGTGGAATCTCCTTTCTTTCCTGTAGTTTGAAGCCATTGTTCCATGTCCTAATTTCCAGGGCAGCAGAAAACAAGCTTGCTCCCTTCTCTTAGGACTTCCCCTCACATATTTAAGCGGATGAACCCAGAGGGTGCTCGCCAATTCTTCCTCTTCATCCTGGAAAGAAGTAACGAGTGGAATGCCACAGGGTTCCGTCCTGGGCAAAAAACCCAGTGGGATTTTGGCCTGCATCAATAGGAGTCTAGTGCCTAGATCCAGGGAAGTCGTGCTACCCCTTTATTCTGCCTTGGTCAGACCACACCTGGAATCACACTGTCCAGTTCTGGGTACTGCAATTGAAGGGAGATGTTGACAAGCTGGAAGGTGTCCAGAGGAGGGCGACAAAAATGATCAAGCATCTGGAGAACAAGCCCTATGAGTAGCAGTTTAAAGAGCTGGACATGTTTAGCTGAGAGGAGACATGATGAGGACCATGTATAAATATAGAATCATAGTCCAACCCCTGCCAAGAAGCAGGAAAGATGGGGCTAACAGCGGGAGCTCACCCAGCTCCCCATATTCGAACCGTAAACCTTTTGGTCAGTAAGTCCGCAGCTCAGCGGTTTAACCCACTGCACCACGAGGGGGCCCTCACAGACCTTAATGAAGCAGCTAATTTAGAATATTCCTTATTTGTACACTGTGATGTCCAAGGATACGACTTTCCCCAATGTATGAATAGCGAGAAATGCTGTGGGGGAAAAACAGGGCCTCTTGCAGCTCCGTGCAGGTGTGCTTCGCTCCCTTTCCTGTCTTTGGTGTGAATTGGCTTTACACATGATGGGCTTGGTACTCGCTGCACATGCTTAAATTTAAAAGGAGCCATTTTAATGGGGAACTGTAAATAATGATAGTATTTCTGACACAAACATTAAAAAAATGAGTAGTATTACACCAAGCAAAAGTACCACAGTATCGTCCATCAATACACATCTGAAGGTAAAGGTAAAGGTTTTCCCCTGACATTAAGTGCCGTCGTGTCCGACTCTGGGGTTGGTGATCTCCATTTCTAAGCTGAAGAGATGGCGTTGTCCGTAGACACCTCCAATGTTTTCGAATTGCTAGGTTGGCCGAATCTGGGGCGAACAGCGGAAGCTCACGCCGCTCCCCGGATTCAAACCTGTGACCTTTCGGTCAACAAGCTCAAGAGGTCAGCAGTTTAACCCACTGCGCCATCAGGGGCTCCACACCTGAAATGACAACAAAAAACCCAAAACTGGATCCTTCTAAAACTAAATTGTTTCTTTTCAGTCTATTTTTTAAAATAAACCAAATTAGCATGTCTGTAACATATAAAAACAAGTAAATATGGAGGAGTGATTGTGAGCAAAGAATTCAGTTCATGGTTAAATATACAGTAAATATAATTGGTATTGCCAACTCTTCTTAGAAGCCTCTTTGCTGAACTATCGCTTATTGATCACTTCTTCTTTAAGTTTTGCTGCCAGGATTCTCTTCTTTAACAAACTTTGTTCCTCTTCTGGTGACATTCCCTAAAAAAAAAAAAAGAGAGAGAATATAAAAGCTACAACATTCATAATTAACATATAACCTCTTAAGCAGCTGAGGGGAAAAAGGAAGGGGCCTGAGGCTATTATGAATGGTGGGAGTTCAAGTCCAAAACACCTGGAGGGCCCAAGTTTGCCCATGCTTGAACGATCAAGCAATCCAGATTTTATTTTGCTACTCTTAGTACTCAGGGAATACTGTGTGGTTTGTGGGCCACCTACAGGCCATTCAAGACCACTACAGACACACGTCTTGCAAGGACCATCCAATCCAAGCAGGAAAAGTGGTTGTAAACACCTTCTCCAAGAGCTATGGAGAGGGAGATGTGGTGAAATTGCCCCTACCCCACCCCCAATGTGGGGAGAGGAAAATTAAAGGAGCTGCCTACCTCTACTTTATCACGAAGGTGTTGCAACTCAGTGTAACCTCATATTTATTTTTATTTATTTAACTATATTTGTATACCGCCTTTCTCAGCCTCAGGCAACTCAGGAAGCTTTACAGAAGCAATGATTTGATGCCCAAGAACATCACAAAACATTTAAAACATTAATATATAGTATAAAACCCGACAAAAGTAATAAAAACATAAGCCATTTGCGTCTCCTAGTTGAAAACATTATCCATCTCATCGTCTATGATCGTTTAAACATAGGAACTTGTTTAAAAACTCTGGCATAGACAAATAGAACTGGGAAGCCCTGGCCCTTGAGCGCTCCAGGTGGAGGTCAGCTGTGACCAGCAGTGCTGTAGAATTTGAAGAAGCACGAACAGAGGATGAAAGAGAGAAATGTGCCAAGAGGAAGACACATCAAGCCAACCCCGACTGAGACTGCCTTCCACCTGAAAACTAATGCCCTCACTGCAGGAGAAAATGCAGATCAAGAATAGGGCTCCAGAGTCACCTACAGACCCACCAGTACATTGATCTTGGAAGACTATCCTACTCAGACAACGAGGGATCGCCTAAGTAAGTAAGTATGTTTTTTTACGCTGCATTTTCAAACGCTTGCTCGAACAGCCAGGTCTTGACTCTTTTCTGGAATATTAAGCGGGAGGAGGGCGATCTAATATCCCTTAGCGTTCCATAGCCGAGGGACCACCATTGAGAAGGCCCTGTCTCTCATCCCCGCCAAACGTATTTGTGACGCAGGCGAGATCGAGAGCAGGGCCTTCCCGGAAAATATTAAAGTCCTAGCAGGTTCATAAGAGGAGATGTGTTCGGAGAAGTAAGTTGGGTCAGAACCGTCTAGGGCTTTATAGGCTAAAGTCAGCACTTTGAATTGTGCCGGGTAGCAGACTGGCAGCCAGTGGAGCTAGTGCAACACAGGAGTTGTATGCTCTCTGAATGCCGTTCCTGTAATCAATCTGGCTGCCGTCTGTTGGACCATTTGAAGCTAAATGGCCATTATTCTTACAGATTCTATATGCTATTATATTGCTCCTATTGAGACCTTAGGCAACATTTTATTAATCCAATTTTACAAAATATACATAGGAAACTTGAAAGGTTTTATATTGATTGTCCTTTGGCAAACCAGATTTCTGAAATTACAGCAAAAGTTGCTAATTTTCTGTTGTCAAAGTCTTAAAAGCTTCAATTATTTTATCTCCACTTTTATCACTGCTATTTAAATAAACAAATATTTAATACTGCTTTTAACTTTCATACTCAACATGTTTCTTAACTCTGCTTTTTAAAATTGTATCTTAATGCCTAAACATACATTTTATTTATCTTTTATTGTCTGGAAAAAATACATGTGTGTGTGTGTGTGTTTTTTTTTAATTATTGTTATATGTATTTACAGCCCATTTTTTACCCCTAAAAAGACTCAAAGTGGCTAAAGTGGGGAAACAGTCCTTGATACGCTTATATATTACGCTTATATATTAATATATATATAAAGTGGGGAAACAGTCCTTGATACAACATATATTTTTAAAAGCTCTTTAATGATATTTATTTCATTATTCTTTTCATTATTATTTCATTATTATGTTTATTCTTTTTGGGTTCCTCTTAATTACATATTTTCTTCCCTACCTCATCCAGGGTTTTATCATTTTACCCCCTCCATTTGGCCTACCCATTCTGTTCAATTTTATATTGTGTTAATTTGTTTTATTTATCCTATTTTGATACTGTACGTATTTTATTTTGATGCAATTTTTTTGTTGTTTGCATTCTGTATTTTATTTTGTTGTGTTGTATCTTTGGGCTTGGCCTCATGTTAGCCACCTCGAGTCCTCTTTGAGGATATCGTGGCAGGGTATAAATAAATAAAGATTATTATTATTATTATTATCATTATTATTATTATTATGTTTTCTAAGAGATGTTTTCTTTCAGGTGCAGCATTTTACTGAATCATAGAATCATAGAGTTGGAAGAGACCTCGTGGGCCATCCAGTCCAACCCCAGTCTGCCAAGAAGCACGAAAATTGCATTCGAAGCACCCCTGACAGATGGCCATACAGCTTTTGTTCAAAAGCCTCCAAAGGAGGAGCCTCCATCACACTCCAGGGCAGAGAGAGAGTCCCACTGCTGAACAGTTTTCACAGTCAGGAAGTTCTTCCTAATGTTCAGATGGAATCTCCTGTATATAAATATAGGGACAGTTCTCAAGTTATAAACATCTAACCTACAAATGACTCCTAGTTAAGAACGGGGGTGAGACAACAGGAAGGGAGAAAAATCTACCCCTCGGAAGGGAAATGCACTCCCGAAAGTGTTATCATGGGGGAAAGCTATCTCAACTGAAGCCTTATTATCAATCCTTGTTTCCACAACAAGCCAAATGGTTCCAAATCCAATGATCACAGGGACAGAAAGTGGGGTGAAATCTTCTGAACAGGAGCAGAGATAGCAAAATAAACACATGTCTGGATGGACATTCTTAGTAGGTAGGAAACTGAACTTCTCCCTGACTAGAATATCTGAATACACATCCGCACTCTTCATGCATTGTCACTAAAAAGTACTATTCAAATTAAGCACCTGGGATAGTGCACGTGGAGCCCCATATAATGATTATAATAATAGTAATAATAATAAAATAATTATAATAATTATAATTATAGTAGTAATAATAATAATAATATAAAATAATAATAAAATAATAAAAGCTGACACGATATGAGGATTTAAAGCTTCAACTGCAAAGACTCTGGCACAAGCCAGTCAAGGTGGTCTCAGTGGTGATCGGCACACTGGGTGCAGCACTCATCTTGTTGTGTTTCAAATAATAATAATGATAATCATAATAATAATAATAATAATAAAGTAATAGCAGCAACAGCAACAAGACTTTATTTATAATCCACCCTCTCTCCTCGAAGGAACTCAGGACAGTTTCCAAAGTATAACAAAATGGCAAACATTCAATGCCAAAACAAACAAACAATAATCATGACGAAACATGAAATAAAATAAATTAAATATAACTTATAAACAACAAAAATTGACCGAGGATAAAAAAATAAACATAATATAACACAAGAAATCAGACCAATTAAAACACAATACATTAAAAGCGTTAAATAGTCTATCACATCAGTAGGGCTGAGGTAGATATCGGATGTCAAGGCGAGAATGTGTGTAAAGTATGCTAATCACCTTCCTCTCCATAAGCTAGATTGAACAAGTAGGTACGTTTTTCCCATGGAGACTGAATTAAACAAAACAGTCCACAAAGAAATAATTCCAGTCACCAAACCTTCATTTCATCATCTTTGGTCTCTCGAGCAGGTAAGAGCTCTTCTTTCTGTTCTGTATTCTTCGGTAGTGCATTATTATTTTTTGACTCCTTCTTCAAAGCCATCAGTGCGTCTCGTTTCTGCTTCAGGTAATCTTCACGCTCCCTGAGCTCCTGTGCTCCAAGTTCTGATAATTTCTAGAAAAAAATTAAAGTCTCTGTTTTACTACATAGACAGTAATGTGCTTTTTATATCAGTTTGTAGTCATTCAGGAGGAGCGGCATGCAAAGGTCTTCGAAAAGCTGTAATGTTAATGGCATTAGTACCGGAGGATTTAAGGGCAGAGATTGTTCATTTTGCTTTGTACATGGAAAAATGGAACCAGGAACTGAGTCTTATTTTCCATTTTTATCACAATACCATCACATCAGACTCTAGGAAAAGAATTCAGAGAAAATACACATAACTATGACAAAATACTAGGAAACGACACAAAATTATTTATCAACTACAAAGATTATGTTAGTTTAGGTAACTTTTAAATTGGGAGCTTTCAACTTACACGTCCTTCAACGCTGGCCTGCTTTGCTATAGATTCTGAACTATTCCCCACGGCTTTCTTGCCCCGATCTTCTTTCGTTTTTGTAGACCCTGGCTGGGCTGATGGATCTTTATGTTTTGTTTCTGTACCTAGAGTTGCATGGAAAGAAACCAACAGAGCACCCGCTCCTTAGAAGTGTGCAAATCAAATCTCTATGCTTTAAATGCTTTTAATCAAAGGCGTATCTAAAGTTTTGCCAAATATATTTTTAAAATGTGCTTAGTAGACAAAATTTTTCCAAACACCTTTTTTGATCCTCACATAAATTATATCTTTAAATCAAGTTTATTTAATGCTTAGACCATAGATCTTTCACATATAAGGCAAACAAATAAATACATGAAAACCAGATTACTGAATAGTGTTCCCTCACTTATCACGGGTGTTACGTTCCAGGACTACCCGCAAAAAGTGAAAATCCGTGAAGTAGAGATGCTATATATGTATATCGAGTTCCGAGGATGAGGCAGAAGCGAGGAGAGATTTAAAGACACAGCACATCTTTTTTTCTTTCTTTTTTGCTAGCTATCTCTGCTTTGCTTTGCAATTTCTCTTGATTCTCTCCTGAGGGGGAGGGTGAAACCCCCTTCCACACTCCATCATTGCCAGGAGGTGGGATTAGATTGCCGCTCTGGGTAACAGCAACCAATCATAAACTGGGAAGCAAAAACCTGTGAAACAGCAAGTCCACAAAAAGCGAACCGCGAAGTAGCAAGGGAACACTGTATAATGTAAAATACACTATTGAAATCCTACATAAATAATTAAAATGCTACATATATCAATGTCGAGATACACTCTTAACATGCTACATAAGATACTGCATGGACTAGCACCTGCATAACTAAAAACCAGTTAAAACCAAGTAAATACAGCATTATTAACAGTTAAGCAGAGAACACCTTGAAAGCAAGAAAGCGTTGGCACGACAGGACGTGATTTAATGGGTCCCAGTATTTTTGTTTTTCCTACTCCCCCTCCTTAAAATGGAGAACAGAAAATGAAATAGGACTAGCCCCAAGTCAACAATACAGCATAAGGCTTCTAAACAACTGAAAATGGACAAACTCTTCAGGGAGGGAACTATGAGTATATCTGACTTAAACGCCCTGTTTGAAATTACATAAATTCTACGAGATACAGTACTACTTTATACTTCATTTCACAGCTGTAAAACTAAGAGTATGATATAAAGACTCTCCAAATGACAAAATTGTCAGGGAGCCCCCGGTGGCGCAGTGAGTTAAAGCACTGAGCTGCTGAGCTTGTTGATCGAAAGGTCGCAGGTTCGATTCCGGGGAGCGGCGTGAGCTTCCGCTGTCAGCCCTAGCTTCTGCCAACCTAGCAGTTCGAAAACATGCAAATGTGAGTAGATCAATAGGTACCGCTCCGGCGGGAAGGTAACGGCGCTCCATGCAGTCATGCCGGCCACATGACCTTGGAGGTGTCTACGGACAACGCTGGCTCTTCGGCTTAGAAATGGAGATGAGCACCACACCCCAGAGTCAGACATGACTGGACTTAATGTCAGGGGACTACCTTTACCTTTTTATGTGTGTTTTTAAATGTGTTTCTATGTAATTTCAAGATGGAGTTTACTGTGTGTTAGAAATGCTATGCTGAATGTTCATTACTGAGGTTGCGACTATGTAACCTTGAGAGAAATGAGATAATGCATGCTTTGGCTGGGAACAGTAGTGAGTTAACTGTCTCAGCCAGAGTGAAGAGAGATAAGCAGGTGTGCAGAGAGACTTTCAGATTTTCCATTAGTTCCTGTTTGTAGCTCGCTGTGTTAAGACGTGTATTTGATGTACTTAGTAAAACTTAGTTTCTTTTGCAACTGTAAACCTGCAGAGTCTTTATTTTTTAAATCAGTGTCTGTTGATCTAGCAATCCTTCTGCTGCGCACCCCCCAAACTCTGACAAAAATAAGCCTGTGGCAGAGGTGAGCACACATTAAGTACTTCCAAAACCAAAATCTGACTATGATGGACTGAAGCATCTGGGATTACAACTTTGCATTTTGAGAAAAATTCAGCTAGAGAACTCCAATTAAGAAATTGAGGTTCCCAAGAAGCTGTTAACAGGCAAAAGGATAACATTATGCCATGGCCTTTCTGCCAGACAGTTGTCTGCCCACTGAACAAAATATAGACCACCCTGAACACACCCCATCTTTTCTGCCTTTGAAAGCTAAGTAGTGCCAGGCTCTGTTAATACTGGGATGAAAGACTATTGGGAAATACTTGGGGTCTCCAGGCAGGGCAAGGAAAGAATCCTGAGATTTTGGAGAGCCGTAATCTGACATTACAAAGCTAGCTAGATGGACTAGTAATGTGAATCAGTGTAAGACAGTTTCCTATGCTTCTAGTACAACATTCCATCTTGCACAAATTTTTCAGACTTTTTAAAAAATTCTCCATTTTTGCAGAATGTGGAGGGATAACTATTACACACAATGTTAGACATCAGCTGAAGAACCGAAATCCTTTTGTCTCAGCATAAATAAGAAGTAACATGACATACATTTTTAATTTGTGAACACTGGATATTTTCAAATAATCATACCTGATGATGGTTTTGTAGTGGGGCCAGCAGCTTCTTTAGGTCTTGCACTTTCGCTCAGGTGTCCTGGAGATGTGTGTGCACCATCAGATGATTTCAGCTTATCTTGTGGCTAGAAAACAAACAAGTGTCCATTAATGCATTTCAAGTAACACACATAACAAAAGTCATAACAATTTTTCAACTGAGCAAATACAAAAAAATGAACAAACAGCATTCATTACACAAAATTATGTTCTCACAATGTTTCCAGATTAGGTAGCATAGTTGAGAGAATTAGTTTTTACTAACTAGGTTGTGCCAATCCTCTTTCGAAGGTCACCACATCCATTCCTTCATAAGAAAGAGCAATGGAAATTCTGCAGGGGGGAATAAGAAATGAGCTGTTTCCAATGAGGCCCTAGCTTATTTGAGCAACAACTGTTGTCGAAGGCTTTCATGGCTGGAATCACTGGATTGTTGTAGGTTTTTCGGGCGATATGGCCATGTTCTAGAAGCATTTTCTCCTTACGTTTCACCTGCATCTATGGCAAGCATCCTCAGAGGTAGTGAGGTCTGTTGGAACTAGGAAAATTGGGTTGATATATCTGTGGAATGTCCAGGGTGGGACAAAGACTGTGTGAGCAGAATTTACAGACCTATTTCAAGGCATAATGGTGTTATCAGATGATTTAAACTGAACCTTAACTTACCTCTTTACTTTTTTTCCTTTCTTGCTCTAAGTCATATTCTTCCTTAGACTTCCTGAAAAACAGGTACATTCAGTGAGTCACTGTTCTTTGGGTACCTGCTAGGCCAAAGTGATTCAGTCACCTCACCTTCCTAGTCCTGTTTCTAAGGGATCTTCCTAAATCCCCTCCACGAGCATTGATCACTGTCTGATTTATTAAGCTGCCAAATTCACGTGAAGGAGCAAAGCAGAACACTCTACCTAAATCAGTGGTTCTCAACCTGAGGATCCCCAGATGTTTTGTCCTTCAACTCCCAGAAATCCTAACAGCTGGTAAACTGGCTGGGATTTCTGGGAGTTGTAGGCCAAAGCACTTGGTGACCCATAGGTTGAGAACAACTAACCTAAAGGGTGAGCAGCACTGAACTATTCCATAACATAGAACATCCCTCTTAAACCAACAATGCACATGCACTAGCTGTCTCCTTGGGAATTTCCAAAGTGATTCTATGCAGATGCAGAACTTCTCTTAGAAAGCAAGTGAAGAGCAACGATTGGTAGTAAGGATTTCTTAGTCATTGCAAAGGGATAGAGTCAAGGCCACAAAACTTTAGGGAAGTTATAGTCCTCCCATTTTGTTCTGGCTGCATAAGTATGTGTAACATGCAAAGCTGAAAATCAATCATTTGCTTATTAGTACTAAAATATTATACTTTATATGGCCTAATTTGTCCCTAACATGATTAATAAGTCAAACCAAGTCCTTGTTTCCCAGAAACACAGTCTAAAATACACAAGGATGGAGAACGACAAAAGGTAGAGAGGGGAAGGCAAGAGGAGCACGGAAGGAACACAGGCCTTCTGCAAGTCCTTGCCATCATGTATTATGTCTTTTTGAGAAATGTCTGTAGTCAATTCCAGTCAGAAATGAAATAGAAACCTGGTTTTACCTAAGAACCTCCCTGAGTATTTTCATTTCTTCTTCTTCAACTTCAGTGTATACATCAGATCCATCAGTCAGACAGTCAGGCAGAACCCCTGTGCAATGAGGAAAAAGGATAACAGATCGAAAAAGAGGAGGGCAAAAGCTAGCCTTCTGCAGAGTTTGAACTGTTCTCTGACACCATTTTTTAAATCCAAAATGGGACATTTGTACAGAAAATCCAGAAGATGTTGAAGGCTTTCATGGCTGGAAGCACTGGGTTGTTTTCCCGGCTGTATGGCCATGTTCCAGAAGCATTCTCTCCTGACGTTTTGCCTGCATCTATGGCAGGCATCCTCAGAGGTTGTGAGGTATGAGCTAGAGCAAGAAAGGACCTAGAGGCCCAAATTATCTGTCCGAACGTATCTCCTGTTATGAACCATCACGAAGCTTAAGATCGTCAGGAGAGGTCCTGCTCTCGATCCCACCACTTTTGCAAACGCAGTTGGTGGGGACGAGAGACAGGGCCTTCTCGGCAGTGGCCTCCCGTCTGTGGAACTCTCTCCCTAAGGACATCAGGTTGGTCACCTCCCTCCTGTCCTTTAGAAGACAACTGAAGACTTGGCTTCGAGACCAGGTATTCGATTAGTGGACAGCAGCAACTGGCAAGAAAACTTAGGATATCTGCGACATTGGATTTACTGATTTGGACTTGGTTTTAATTGGCATGTTTAATTTATTGCTAAATGAATTTTTACTGTTTTAAATATCATTTTTTTATTGTTTATATGCTGACAGCATCATATGATGCTTGTGTGAGGCCGCCCTGAGTCCCCCTTCTGGGGGAGAAGAGAGGGGTAGAAATGTATGTAATAAATAAATAAAGCAAGAAAAGACCTCACAACCTCTGAGAATGCCTGCCATAGATGCAGGCGAAACATCAGGAAATAATGCTTCTGGGACATGGCCATACAGCCTGGAAAACTCACAACAACCCAATCCAGAGGATACTTTTGGAATGCAACTCATTTCATGTGATCGCCAAGGTCCATCTCTACATTTCTAAAAAACTGAGGGACATTTAAGCCTCTGCAGACACGTTCTATCATCAGCTTGAAAGAAATATAGGACAGATTGTACAGAAAGGGCTTTTTAAAAAAAGAACTAAAGGGTATTGTTCCATTCAGAGCCCATGAAATAAGTAGTTCATCCCCTTTCCAACTCCATTTCTATTATTCTTTTCCACATGACTACTAGGCCAGTCTCTTATGGGAAATGGAGCATGCAAGCAATTATTAGTCCACTCATCCCATGCCCTCCTGATGAATAGCAGAGATCAACCAAACTTGGAAGCAGCAGAGTATATTTCAGCCTCTTTCTCCCTTCAGGCTATCCATCTGAGGCAACCGCAACCAGGGCAAGAAAAAAAGCCAGCCAGGAAGAGATTATTTCAGCCTTTTCATGCGACAGTTAATGGACAGAACCTTTGCATTTAGCTTTTTCTTCTGGTCTTATGCTACATTCTTGACTTCTCCTTGTCTCTTCTTCTTCTTTTTCTACCTCTATGGTCTTATTAGTTTTCCTTCTGTAATGGAACTATTTTCCCCCATCTCACATCCTTCCTCACTCTTGATAGTTTCATGTATCATAAAAACTTGAAGCAAGGCCTCTTCATAGCAAATGAAATATGCGATGGAAATCCAATGCTCATTTCTTACCATTTCTTTCTTGGATTATCCTAATGGCTTGCAATTGCATTTCAATGTTTTTCTGGACCATCATCTCTTTAAACAATCTGAAGTCTTCTGCAGCCAGTACTGGTTGCAAAATGGCCTGTATGGGAGAAGTGGTTTTAAAATATCAACACATTTATACTCTGTTCAAATCAAAACAATCTTAGCTGAAACACTATTACAATAATGTAAATTTATAGAGAAAGGCTCATTCAAATTGTTGAAATTTGTTATTGTAAACACAAAACCCAAGACTATAATCCTAAATCCATTTAGTTTGGAAGAAACTACATTGAACTTTGAGGAAACATACACAAGATTTTACTGTTATCAAAGTTGTCCTACATGTTGTGCCCATGTCTAATAACAGCCTGGAAAAACCATGTAACCTTGCTTAAGGATACACACACATACACACACACATATACATATCTAGACATACATACAGTAGAGTCTCGCTTATCCAATATAAACAGGTCAGCAGAACATTGGATAAGCGAAAATGTTGGATGATAAGGAGGGATTAAGGAAAAGCCTTTTAAATGTCAAATTACATTATGATTTTACAAATTAAGCACCAAAACATAATGTTTTACAACAAATTGACAGAAAAAGCAGTTCAATACATGGTAACGTTAGCACCAAAACATCGCAATGTATTGAAACAGCTCTGGATCCAGGCGGGAGGCAAACTGCGTTGGATAATACAGAATGTTGGATGAGCAAAGGTTGGATAAGCGAAACTCTAATGCAGTGGTTCTCAGCCTGTGGATCTCCAGATGTTTTGGCCTTCAACTCCCAGCTGGTAAACTGGCTGGGATTTCTGGAAGTTGTAGGTCAAAACACCTGGGGACCCCCAGGTTGAGAACCACTGCTCTACTGTGTGTATGTATGAACACACATGCACACGCACAAGGGATATCCAAAAGTAAGGATACAAGATTTTTAAAAATCTACAAAGAATGAATATATTTTAATAAAACGTACATGGATAGGTATTACATTATTTTTCCACATAATCAGCATTCAGTTTGATACATGTTGACATCCTTGGGACAAGTTTTTTATGCCTGTGTCATAGACGTCTCCCACTGGAAGAAGCAGCAGCAACAGAGCTGGAGATGGGAGCAGATGGTGGAGACGGAGACGAGACCAAGGCCTCCTGAAACTGCCGAGCCCCCCAATGACCAAGTGCGCCCAACACAACATGCTGCCACCGAAGCAAGGTGACATGGAGGAAGAGGAGGAACTGCCACTTTAGGGAACCACTGTGAAGCAGCTTCTGGTTCCCATGAAGCTGGGAGGTAGGTTCTGAAAGCCAGGCAGACCCTGCTTGAGGCTCCAACTATATGGTCAACGCCCGCTGGTTAGGCCATTTTTCATAAGAGACTCTTTAATATGTTTGTGCTTAATTCTGAGGTTTAAAGTCAAAGCATCCATGCTTAGAAGCTTTCAGCCTAAGACAGTCGATTTATGTGGATATGTGTACTGAAAGTGTGCATTTTGAACGAAGCTATTTAGTACACAAACACACAAAAATATGGAGAACATAATGATATACTTCAAGAACTATAGTGTTAAAAGAATATCTATACCGGTGAGGTACGAGTCTTGGCAAGAGGAGACATGCAAGCTTCCTGGAACTTGTCTTCATTAATTCCAACTTCTTTAAGGTAACTCTCTAACAGCTTTTCGACCTGCAAAGTAATAGAATAATAGTAGAAAAATAGTACTTTATTCCATCAAGAATTCTCTATAATCTGACACATTATTTTTTTATTTAGCAAAAGGGCTCGCTATATATTGTCATAAATGAAGCCATACCTTCTGCCCAAAATATAAAACTCAGCCAGAAAACCTAATTACAGTTGTCATTACATAAAACATGTATTCTCGTTCACTTAATTTTACCTCATTTCCCAGAAACAAAAATACAGTCCTTATATTACCTCATTTCCCAGTAACAAAAATACAGTCCTTATATTCCTCCCTTTATCTGGAAAGCACTTTTCAAAACAGATGATAGAGACTTACATCTAAAATACAAGAGAGTAAAAAGATAAGGAGAGCAATAAAACGGACAAGGTGTAAGGAGAGGATGTCTACAGGATCTTTTTCCATTAAATTCAGGTATAATTGAGACGTCAGGATAATGCACTGCCAAAGATATCATGAAAGGTGAGTTATAGGAGAGATTGAAATGAAGAAAGGTGGCATTACATGGGCGTTTGAAGAGGCAGTATAAGTCTAAGTCTAAGGAGCAATGAGGCAGAAAGTATGGAATTGCTTTAGACTGCTCAGGGGTTGTGCATGAAAGTGAATGCCTCAGACAATGATGTACTGCAATATGGAAAGTACAGAAGGAAGGGTAAGCCACAAATTGCCTGAAGGGAAAATCGCTGAGCTTTATTAAGAGACTACATAACACTGATCCCATTATTGCGTTTTGTGTGTCAGAAAGTCTTCATGAAGAAACCCTACCAGACCAAAATAATTCCTAACTCTTCTGGCATGTTTTCACAATATTACAGATTAATTATATCTGAAAATGAATGACTGGAACACTCTGGGTTACAGAGCAAATCAGGATGTTTTATCTGACATGTCTTCAATGATAAGTTAGTCATATTTACCTTCTACTTCATATACAAAGAAAAACTACCAAATTTATGTACACTTATATCCTATACACATGGGTACCAGGCTTTTAATAATACCATACAAGCTGCCTAAATGAAAAGGTCAACACTGGAAAATATATTATCCAGACAACACACTAACTCTGGTGAAAAATAACATGGAATCCATGTTATTTAAAGCAGTGGTTCCCAACCTGTGGTCCGTGGACCACCAGTGGTCCGCAAGAACTAAAATATGACACACAGCCTCACCGTTACTACACCTTTACAACAAGAGCACCTGGTCTCGCAAAACCCTCTTAGTGCTGAGGCTTATGGTTTCCTGTGGGTGAGCAGATGGCGACTACTGAATGGTATATGTTCTGTATCAGAAACTAGAGCTGATGCGGTCTATCCAATGCAATTTTCTAAATCAGCATTCCAAATAACCAAACAAATCTAAAGTTGACCAAAAACTGATTCGTAACCCTTTTTGTACTAATGTTGGAGAGTGATCCCTGGTCAAAGTGGTCCCTTAGTCAAGTGGTCGCTGGTGAAAAAAGGTTAGGAACCACTGATTTAAAGAAAGCTACAGCTCAGCTTGACAGATCTAAAGCAGCTAGGCATTCAAACTACTAGATTATCTGCCCCAACCCTTTCCATCTTATTGTTACCATGATTTATAGCAGAACAGGATATTCCAGTCACATAGCAGAAAATAAGGATTTTGTACCAAAATTATGTTCTGGCACAATGGTGATCCATGCTTTGTCCACTACATTTTGGGCAAGGAAACGTTATCCAGAAGACTAGAATCTGGGGATGACAGATCTCAACCTAACATTTTCCGCCCAACACAAAAATAAGAGTAAAGCAAGTCCTAGACACAAACTCAGCAATTGTTGGTGGAAAGAATAAAGGCAAATGGCAGGAAATGCATTAAGATGCTGATTAGTTTCTAGAACTAATGGCATTTCATCCCTCAATGCTGCCTGCTCTACAGTCATGATTACATACCACACTTTACTGTAGCACTTGAATCTCATGGTCTGGGATGGCAGGATTGATCATTTCAAATGAAATGTTTATTCTGTCTTATTTAAAGAATTTTTATCCCATTCATTTCATTCATAATAAATGAAAAGTAGATTGGGGAAAAGATAGAAAGCAGTCAATCTTTCAGCAACATTGGTAGTGTGGTCCTGCTACCCACTTCATCTCCCTTTCTTACTGCCTGATGAAATGGCCTTTAAAATATGATATTGAAGTGAATGGTGGTGACGCCTTACTCCCAAGATATCACCTTTACTATTAATCATTGATGGCATTACTATTAATCACTGGTGGCAATTTTCTCCAAAGGCAAGGACTAATCATAAGGTAAATATCAGAAAGGAAACAGGTTGGTATAAGATCATTTATTGAGTTGGAAAAAAGCAGGAAAGTGATGTGAATGGTAACATTCACATCACTGCAGAAATGCAACAAATGCATCTTGCATAATAAATCACTAACTTCACAATTGCAACAGAAATCTATTAGATACTGCAACAGATGCACAAGGCATTTGTTCCTCAACGGAACACATTTCTTTAAAGATCAAGAAAAAGTGATTGCAAGTAATCTGCTCACCAAAGCTTTATATTCCTGATGAATCTCAGTGTAAGACAACTTGCTTTCTTCTTCGTCATCAAAAACTGAAAAGACAACAAGCTTTATTTTCCTTTAAAATGTAAAAACTGTTCAATAATCATTCCAAAATATTCTGCATCTTAAATTAACTTTAAATTATATTCCTAGCAAGTGAGATTTATCTTGAGTAAAAGATACCATCAGATGGGTCTACCAACAGGCATTTCCTAGGAGGCAAAGTACTGTGTTTGATTTCCAAATGTATTGTGATCTTTATAGTTTCCTAATCTAGATGCCTAATTCAATATATGTGGAGTTTGTTTACAATCAAAAATAAACTTTCCATCATTGAAAAGAAGCAGTAGCTAGACAGTTGCTGAAAAAGCCCTCCCTGGATCCCCTGGACCTTAATAATTGCAGACCAGTGTTTAACCTGATTAAGGCAGTTGCCCTCCAACTCCAGGCAGTCTTGGATGACACATATTTCCCTGACCCATTTCAAACTGGACTCAGAGCAAGATACGGAGTTGAGACTGCTATGGTCGCCTTAGTGGATGATCTCCGTTTCAACACCAACAGGGGGAATATGTCCCTGATGGTGCTTCTAGACCTCTCAGCAGCCTTTGATACCATCGACCTCTCAGGCAGGTTTCAGATGGTGGTGTTCTGGGATAGCTGCTCCTCAAAAAAGGAGGTGTTATGTGATGTCTCACAAGGTGCTGTTATATCCCCAATGCTCATTGATATTTACATGAAGCCATTGGGAGAGATCATCAGTAGGAATGAGGCAGGGTGTTATCAGTATGCTGATAACACCAAATAAATTTCTTCATACTTTCCAAAACAGCTTCAACTAAGGATAGTGTGTCTCCTCTAAATGAATGCCTGGATGAGGTAATGGACTGGATGAGGAAAAACAAACTGAAAGTCAGGCGTTTGCCATCAAGGGACCTAATCTAGGGGTGAAAGTGTACCAACCATTTCTGGATGGAGTTACAGTCCCCCTGAAAGACTGTGCTCCTAGATCCATCTCTCCAAATATCAGCTCAAGTAGATGCAACAGTCAGGAGTGCTTACTACCAGCTTTGGCTGACATGCTAGCAGCTAATAACTAATTCTGATGTAGATTTAAACATGAGAAGCATAGCAACATGGATTTTAGGATTTTTGGAACTGTAAATAAGAATGCACATTTTTTAAAAGTTGAAGAAATCCTGCTTTGAGAGCTCCCCCCTCCCCCCCAATGATGTAATTTAGAAAATGCATCAAAAATACTTTCAAAAATCATTGGTGGTGCATATTCTTCTAAAATCAGTGGAGTTTCTTTTCATCCACACTTATCTGTCTATTCAGCAAAACGGACATAGATTTCCATAACTGGATCGGTCCATTTCAAGCATGTTAATCAAAATGTTCCAGCAATAGATTTAAACATCTTTTAATCTATTCTTTTCTGTAATATATGGAGACATAATTTAAAAATAGGATTCAAAACAGGCCTATATTTACTCACTCTCAAAACCCACATCCTCTAATCATTTTCAAATTGTTCATTATAACAGAATATCTTCCTTCTTTTCCCCATTTTTCTAAGAATTATCTAAGACCAGAAGCAACAACAGATAGCTATTGCCACCACACACACAACTGGTAACAGTATAGGAATTATCTGCTTCAGCAAGGGTGTTACATTACAAGAGCTATTAAACTACATAAGATCTATAGCTCAAAGCGAAAGTGTTCTGGAACATTCAACAGCTTATACAAATCAAGACCGTTCTTAATTCTAATGTCACTTAAACCAGCTTCTTAACAGCTTATTCAACTGGCTTGCAATGTAATGGCTATTCCTTTCCTTCTGGATCAGTCAGGAAGAAACTAATGACTGTTCCTAAAGGCAACAAAACATGATTTTCATATCGCTTAATCCCCAAAATCTATACAAGTGCATATCTTTCCGTATCAGGCCACAAAGAGCAATATAAATATTGTACTTTCGTAGGCAGATGCATGTCATCTCCCATTCATTCTCATTATGTTTGCTTCCTTATGTGTGAGACTGCTTCCTGTGTAATTTTCAATCCCCTGTGGTCTGTTTTTCTATCCTTACTGTTTCTTTTCTCTCTCTATTAATCTGTCATTAAATTTTCACTCTGGTTTTCCTCTCCTTGCCCTTCATATTTCTCTATGTAAGAGAAAGAAAGAGAATAGATTCCTGATACTTTATCTCCCCCCCCCCCAACACACACACACAGACATATATTATACACACACCAACATACGTCACTAGGTGAGTGCATACAAAACATTTTTGGAATATTCTTAATATGCTCACTGACCCCAAATGTGAGGAATTTCTGGCATATGTCATAAGAAATAACATCCTCAACAAAAGATATTTCACATTCTTTTTTAAAAGTGTGAGCTGGTTCAGATATAAGAGCCACATTACATGAGTAAGCCATAATAAACCTTTATGTTCAACATTCTATGTCTCATTTCCACTCCTGCTTTTCCATATCTGGCAGGAAGAGATGGGTCATTTCCACCTATAAATATAAGGAAATCCAAGTCCTCTATAACACCCAAGCTTGAACAATGTCATTTGTTTAAAAACAACTTGGTGAAAACAAACCAGATCTTAGTCTGTTGATCAACATTTTTATACAGATGACTGTTGATAAAAAAAAATGGCATGGTATCTCTAAAAAAATAATTGGGAGCCAATGCTTTCAAATGCCTGCTCTAATAAGTAAAGGAGGAGAGCAGAGAATGTGAACTAAAGACTTACCACATGTTATCCTTGTAACAAGAAACCATGGTTTATCATTACAAGTATGCCAAATCATCTTGGGTGCTTGGAAGGGCTTTAGTCACAAAATGCTGGAAAACACACTCAATAGCACACAGATATAGGAAATAATGTCCTATAGAACAGATCAGTGTCACCAAGTGGTAGGAGACAACCTAGATCAGTAATAAAGGAATAGTCCAGTTGAGGACTCTTAAACACTCACATAGAATCATAGAATCAAAGAGTTGGAAGAGACCTTGTGGGCCATCCAGTCCAACCCCCTGCCAAGAAGCAGGAATATTGCATTCAAACCACCCCTGATAGATGGCCATCTAGTCTCTGTTTAAAAGCTTCCAAAGAAGGAGCCACCACCACACTCCGGGGCAGAGTGCACTAATCTAGTGCACTAATGGGGAAGGATGGAAAATTATTTTCCATCTAAAATTTATTGCAGGAAGCTGCCACTTATATGACAAGTTAGAATGGAGCACTGTCAGAAAATAGAAACACGAATCAGCACTAAGGCAGTCCTTAAAAAGCAGAATAGAGAGGCCTTCTCCTGATATAAAAAAAGACTTTCATGTTGGATTCTAGGCAATCAACTGTGGGGGAAAACATGTTAGAGACAGAACGCTACCACTGAACAGACAGACCCTCTTTCTTCTAGCCACGTGGAGGAATACTTAGTTAAGATTCAGGTAATTAAGTATGGCAGAAAATACTATTTCATGGAATCTGACCCAAGCCCCACTCATCTGAATACTTTATATGTTTGCGCTATAAATGAAATAGGGAAAGAAAATGAAATTTTAGAATCTTAGCACAATTGTTTATATGGATATCCTCAGTGGTCTGAGGTTCAGGGAATTTTTTAATAGTATATGTTGTAATTCTTTAATTTGCTTTATACGAGTTATAAAATGTGCAATCTATTTGTTTAGGTTTTTTGTTGAATTTTATGTTTGTGATTTCCGTTTTAACACTGTACGCCATTTTTAATCCTACCCATAGGCGAAAAACTGGATAATAAATAAATAAATAAAAGTGTAGTAGGACTGTATATCTTGAGGGTGTAAAACTGGCACTGAATTAGGGGGAGGCGTTGACTTTCAGAGAATTACAGCCAAACCCCCATATTCATTGGGATACATTCCCACCCACATCATCATTGTGTGACCTAGGGGGTAAATGGTTTTGAACTGCTTTGATGGATTTTAACTGGATTTTTAAAATGCTGCTTGTGTTTAATTATTTGTTAATGTTTGCATTTTTCTTATTTTAAATTGTATACTAATTTATTTATTGATTTATATGCCTCCTTATCTCTCCATATGGAGACTCAAAGCGGCTCACAGCCAAAAAAACTGCAACTTAACATATACACAACTGCAATAATAAAACACTATATCATTATATATTATTATATAGTATTATAGCACATTACATTATAATAATACTATTATCAATACTATATGCGTAGGCAAAGATAAAGGTTTCCCATGACACTAAGACTAATAGTATCCGACTCTGGGGGGTGGTGATCATCTCCATTTCCAAGTCGAAGAGCTGGTGTTGTCCGTAGATGCCTCCTAGGTCATGTGGCCGATTTGACTGCATGGAGCACCATTACCTTTCTGAAAAAGCAGTGCCTACTGACCTATTCACATTTGCATGTTTTCAAACTGTTAGGTTGGCAGTTGCTGGGCCTAACAGCGGGAGCTCATCCCACTCCCCTGGTCTGAACCGCCAACCTTTCATTCAGTAAGTTCAGCAGCTCAGCAGTTTATTATAAATTTTGTGTATAATACTTTTAAAATGTCTAAACCCACTGCGCTACCGGCGGCTCTATTATATGCGTATACAATATATTATATTATTAGCATAGCACAATATTAGTATTACATATTATTATATTGTAATATACCCCAATATTATTAGTGATAATACATGTCTTATATAATATACAATTATCATGTACAGAGGAAGAATTGTTGGAGGCTACAGACAATGCCATTGTTGTTGCACGTTTTTGTGAAAAGACATTTAGCTGCCTGCGCGCCTTCTATTTTAACAGTTTTATACTAATTTATGCAATGCTTTTGATGCAAAATAATATTCATATTATTATATATTATTATAGTGTACTATATAATTATATATATAGTTACATAGTACACTTTTATATATATATAATTTTTATTTATTTACGACATTTATATGCCGCCCTTCTCACGAGCGGCTTACAAGATATATATACATACAATATTCTGTGTACAAACCTACACGATCTCTTCGATCATCTGGAGAGGCCCTGCTCGCGCTCCCACCTCCTTCGCAGGTGCGATTGGTGGAGACGAGGGAGAAGGCCCCCTCGTGGCCCCCTGACTCTGGAATGCACTTCCAAAGGACATCAGGCATGCGCCAACTCTGGCAGTCTTTAGGAGCTTGAAAACGTGGTTGTTCCACTGTGCCTTCCCAGAATAAGGAAAACTCTCAGCAATATGCCCTCAGAATGCACTTTACTACCGGGTTAGGATTGACTGCGTTCCTTCATCTCTCTTTGAAAAACCTTATTGTTTATGTGATTTATATTAATTGTATTGTATTTACTGTTTTGTTTATTGCTTTTGTTTATTGATGTACTGTTGGGCTTGGCCTCATGTAAGCTGCTCTGAGTCCCTTGGGGAGATGGTGGCAGGGTATAAATAAAGTTTTATTATTTATTATTTAATATACTATATTATTACCATAGTACATGAGCCCCCGGTGGCGCAGTGGGTTAAACCCCTGTGCCGGCAGGACTGAAGACCGATAGGTCGTGGGTTCAAATCCGGGGAGAGGCGGATGAGCTCCCTCTATCAGTTCCAGCTCCTCATGCGGGGGCATGAGAGAAGCCTTCCACAAGGATGATAAAAAACATCAAAAATCATCTGGACGTCCCCTGGGCAACGTCCTTGCAGACGGCCAATTCTCTCATACCAGAAGCGATTTGCAGTTTCTCAAGTCGCTCCTGACACGACAAAAAACAAACAAACCATAGTACAATATCAGTATTAAATATTGCTATATTGTATTATACCACTATCTTGTAATATTAATTACATGTAATATAAATATATAATTATAATATCGATAAATACACTGCCAGTATATTATACTATTAGTATTATATAACATACTGTACCATATCATAAATTGTAGGCTATATAATATATCATATTACAACAAATAATCTCTGCATATGGAGACTCAAAGCGGCTCACCTTACAACTTACACACATATACAATAATAAAAACAGCATTATCGTTATATATTTTCAGTAATATTTTATTTAATATATTAGTATTTATTATAATATCATTACTATTTATAATATTGTATTGTTAGTATTATATTGGATTGCATTACATAGTTATTAAAGGAATGTATTGCTTGTTCAGCATGTTTTCAGGCCTGGGCAAACTTGGGCCCTCCGGGTGTTTTGGACTTCAACTCCCACAATTCCTAGCAGCCTACCGGCTGCTAGGAATTGTGGGAGTTGAAGTCCAAAACACCCGGAGGGCCCAAGTTTGCCACTAGGTGCGGATCCTCCTCTGTCTCACCCTCGCACTTCTGCTCCACGAACTCCAGGATGGGGCTGGACCAGGCGGGGCTCCGGAGGAAGCCGGCGATGCTATCTACCACCCACTCCACCTCGGTCTCCGCCTCCGCCTCGGCCGCCATCTCATCTCTCCGCCGCTCCTTCCCGACTGGCACCTCACCACCACAAGGGAGAAAGGAAAGGGAGCCCTTGCGCATGCGCGGCCGCGCGAGGACAAGAAAGCGACCGTTGGTTGGCTGGCCCGCGCGGCTCCGCGTCGCTATGGCAACCCCCTCCTCTCGAAAGAAACAAATCCAACTGCGCAGGCGCAGCTTCTATGTGACAATAATCTTACTCGCCATGGCAGTGGGCGGGCCGCATTGCGCAGGCGCAACTTTTATCCAATCCTGCCACGCTTTGGTCATTCTTCCTCTCTCTCTCTCCCCCTAGCGGAGGAAGAGGCTGCTCACATCGACTGCCTCTAGGGGGCGCCCGAACCCAGCGGGAGTTTTCTATTGGGTGAGGACGAGCGGTGGGCGGAGTTTCCCCCGCTTGATTCATAGAGTTGGAAGAGACCACATGGGCCATCTAGTCCAACCCCTTGCCATGCAGGAAAAGCACAATCAAAGCACCCCTGACAGATGGCCATCCAGTGGAGTGTGTGATATATATATGTGTGTGTGTGTATGTATGTATTAGGCATGTGCAACCATGGTTCTAAATGATTCTAAAGTACTTACAAAACTAAAGTTCTGGTGGTGAAAACTAGGGGGTGCTGGTGCTTTGCTTCTACAGTGTTGCTAAAGTTCTGGTGGTGAAAATGTCAGAACTCTCAAAATTTCATTATTATTTCATTATTGGTGATTTTTATGACAGAACCTATTAGGAACTGCCATTTATAATGAAATTTTGAAAATTGTTTTAGAGTTCTGAAAGTTTCACCACCAGAACTTTAGCAACACTATAGAAGCAAAGAACCAGCGCCCCCTAGTTTTCAGCACCAGAACTTTAGTTTTGTAAGTACTTTAGAACCATGATTGCACATGCCTAGTATATATGTGTGTGTGTATATATATATCTATATATATATAATTTATTTTATTTTATTTGTTTATTTAGAGTTTTTGTATACCGGTCTTCTCCACCTCCTAAGAGGGACTCAGGCCGGTTTACAGCATGAAATTCAAATACAATAATAAGATACAAAACATCCTCATAATACAATAAAACAAGTGCATTAAAATACAATCATAAACATTACACAGGCCAGGTCGTCAGGTGAAATCACAGTTCGTTGCCATCCTTCCGTGTGGTCGGAGTCATTGCCTCAGTCATCGAATGCCATATTCCAAAGCCAGGTTTTTACTTGTTTTCTAAATGATAGGAGGGGAGGGGCAGATCTAATCTCTAGCGGGAGGGAGTTCCAGAGCCGAGGGGCCACCACCGAGAAGGACAGGTAAATTGGGCCGGAGTCGTTTAGGGCTTTATAGGTCAAAACCAGCACTTTGAATTGTGCTTGGAAGCTAATTGGCAGCCAGTGGAGCTGGCGTAACAAAGGCGTTGTGTGCTCCCTGTACCCCGTATCCCGCTCCCGTTAGTAATCTGGCTGCCGCTCGTTGGACTAATTGAAGCTTCCGGGCAGTCTTCAAAGGCAACCCCACATAGAGAGCGTTGCAGTAGTCTAAACGGGATGTAACCAGAGCGTGGACCATATAAATGTAATGTTAGTTTGTGGGATTAACAGAACTCAAAAACCACTGGACGAATTGACACCAAATTTGGACACATGAACTTTGAGGTGTCTACGGACAACGCCGGCTCTTCGGCTTAGAAATGGAGATGAGCACCACACCCCAGAGTCAGACATGACTGGACTTAATGTCAGGGGACAACCTTTACCTTTACCTTGGACACAAGACACCTAACAACCCAATGTATGTCCTTCACTCAAAAAATTGATTTTATCATTTGGGAGTTGTAGTTGCTGGGATTTATAGTTCACCTACAATCAAAGAGCATTCTGGACCCCACCAGCGATGGAATTGAACCAAACTTGGCACACAGTTCTCCCATGACCAACAGAAAATACTGGAAGGGTTTGGTGGGCAGTGTTCTTTGGTTTTGGAGTTGTAGTTCACCTACTTCCAGAGATCACTGTGGACTCAAAACAACGATGGATCTGGACCAAACTCTACATGAATACTCAATATGCTCGAACGTGAACACTGGTGGAGTTTGGGGAAAATAGAATCTTGACATTTGGGAGTTGGTGTTGCTGGGATTTATAGTTCACCTACAATCACAGAGCATTCTGAACCCCACCAGCGATATAATTGGGTCAAACCTCCCATACAGAACCCGCATGTGGGCCACAGCAATGCGTGGCAGGGGACGGCTATTATTTATTTTATTTATTTTGTATGCTTATATACCGCAATATCTCAGCCTACAACGGCGACTCATTGCGGTTAACAGTACTTAAAAACAACAATAATCAAACAATTTAAAAGCATAAAAAACATATACAGTACACAGTATCGGGCCACCAATACCGACCAATGCATCTCTTAGTTAAAATCATAATCCGAATTCATCGTCAATAATTACCAGTCCTTGTCATCAACTTCATCGCACCGGATTACCCGAATGCTTGTTCAAACATCCATGTCTTAAGTTTTTTTCGAAATACCAACAGCGAGGGAGCTGATCTTATCTCTATAGGGAGGGCATTCCAAAGCCGAGGGGCCACCACAGAGAAGGCCCTGTCTCTCGTTCCCGCCAGCCGCACTTCTGAAGCCGGAGGGATAGAGAGCAGGGACTCTCCAGAAGATCTTAGGGTCCTGGTGGGCTGATAGGCTGAGATACGTTCGGATAGATAAGTTGGGCCAGAACCGTTTAGGGCTTTAAAGGCCAATGCCAGCACTTTGAATTGGGTCCGGTAGCTAATCGGCAGCCAGTGGAGCTGGTACAGCAGAGGAGTTGTATGCTCCCTGCGCCCTGCTCCTGTTAGTACCATGGCTGCCGCCCGTTGGACTAGTTGGAGCTTCCGAGCCGTCTTCAAAGGCAACCCCACGTAGAGAGCGTTGCAGTAGTCAAGGCGGGATGTAACCAGAGCGTGGACTACCGTGGCCAAGTCAGACTTCCCAAGGTACGGTCGCAGTTGGCGCACAAGTCTTAACTGTGCGAATGCTCCCCTGGTCACCGCCGAAACCTGGGGGTCCAGGCTCAGCGCTGAATCCAGGATCACACCCAAACTGCAACCTGTGTCTTCAGGGGGAGTGCGACCCCGTCCAACACAGGCTGTAACCCTATACCCTGTTCGGCCTTGCGACTAACCAGGAGTACCTCTGTCTTGTCTGGATTCAATTTCAATTTGTTCGCCCTCATCCAGACCGTCACAGCGGCCAAGCACCGGTTCAGGACCTCGACAGCCTCCTTAGTAGCAGGTGGGAAGGAGTGACAGAGTTGGACATCATCTGCGTACAGATGACACCGCACCCCGAAACTCCGGATGATCTCGCCCAGCGGCTTCATGTATATGTTAAACAACATGGGGGACAGTATTGAACCCTGAGGAACCCCACAATACAAAGGTTGTGGGGTAGAACAGGAGTCCCCCAGTAACACCTTCTGAGACCGACCCTCGAGGAATGACCGGAGCCACTGCAAAGCAGTACCTCCGAGACCCATTCCCGCGAGGCGTCCCAGAAGGATACCGTGGTCGACGGTATCGAAGGCCGCTGAGAGGTCGAGTAGCACCAACAGGGACACACTCCCCCTGTCGAGCTCCCGACGGAGATCATCCACTAAGGCGACCAAGGCTGTCTCGGTACCATGCCCCGGCCTAAAGCCAGACTGTGCCGGATCCAGATAATCCGTGTCTACCAAGAATGCCTGGAGTTGTGAGGCCACCACACGTTCCATGAACTTTGCCCAAAAAGGGGAGATTGGAAACAGGCCGATAGTTGACGAATTGAGTGGGGTCCAGTGATGGTTTCTTCAACAGCGGTTTTATTACAGCTTGCTTTAAGCTGGCTGGAATTTTGTCTTCCCGAAGGGAGGCATTCACTACCACCTTCACCCACTCGGCCAAACCCCCTCTGGCCTCCTTTAGAAGCCAGGATGGGCAGGGGTCTAGGATGCATGTGGTAGCTCTCATTCCTCCAAGCACCTTGTCCACATCTAGTATATATATATATATAGTATATATATATATATATATATATATGTATATGTATATGTATATGTATATGTATATATGAATGTCCAGGGTGGAAGAACCCATGTCTGTTTGAAGGAAGTGTGAACATTGCAATTAGCTAGCTTGAATAGCACTGAGTAGCCATGAAGCTGCAAGTCAATCAGAGAACGTATTTGCATAGAGATAGCCTGGTCAGGCATGTAGCCGGGGGGGGGGGGGGGGGGGGGGGGTGGCTTGAGGGGCTTCAGCCCCCCCCCCCCCCCGAAATTTTCATGGTGGTTCGCGAAAAGGCCTTACTGGTGCATTATTTAAACTGTTATGTTTATTCATATCATGATCTGATCACCATACTCAATATATCCCATATGCATGGGGGTATTGGGGTAACGATACAAAAAGGTTTGCTAGGGTAGACCCTCTTTCGCTCAGACTCATCCCCCCCCGACCCCCCGAAAAAACTCAGCCCCCCCCCCCCCCCGAATAGAAATCCTGGCTACGGGCCTGAGCCTGGCTGTTGTTGCTTGGAGGCATCCTCTGTTTGGGAGGTGTTAACTGGCACTTGGTTGTTAGCTGTCTGGAATTCCCCTGTTTTTTGAGTGTTGCTCTTTATTTACTTGTCCTGATTTTAGAGTTTTTAAAAATAATGGTAACAAGATTTTGTTCATTTTCATATATAGTTATTCATATTTCCAAATCAGTTTAACTACGAATTTCAAATTCACATTATGATATCGATTGTATTTTAATCTTTGTTCCATATATCTTAATATGTGTAATCTGTAAGCCGCTCTGAGTCCCCTTCGGAGTTGAGAAGAGTGGGGTATAAATACAGTAAATAATAAATAAAACATGTTTTAGTCTATGTCGAATATATTTTATTATGATATATTGTAATTGTGTTGTGCCACACCTCAAGCCGTAACAAGAGGTGAGCAATACATATATTAGTAGTAGTAGTAGTAGTACTTATTTACTTAGGCAATCCCTCGTTGTTCAAGTAAGATTGTCCTCCAAGTTCGGTGTCCTGGAGATGGGTTCATAGGTGACTGTGGAGCCCAATTCTCAACCTGCCTGTTTTCCCTCAGTGAGAACATCGGTTTCCAGGTAGGAGGCGGTCCTGGTCGGGGTTGGCTTGACGTGCCTTCCTCTTGGCACGTTTCTCTCTTTCGCCCTCTATTCATGCCTCTTCAAATTCTACAGCACTGCTAGTCACAGCTGACCTCCAGCTGGAGCGCTCAAGGGCCAGGGCTTCCCAGTTCTCAGTGTCTATGCCACCGTTTTTAAGGTTTTTAAGGTTGGATTTGTGACCATCTTTAAATCTCTTTTTCTGCCCACCAACATTCCTTTTCCCTTTCTTGAGTTTGAAGTAGAGCAACTGCTTTGGGAAACTGTGGTCGGGCATCCAGACAACGTGGCCGGTCCAGCGGAGTTGATGGCGGAGGACCATCGCTTCAGTGCTGGTGGTCTTTGCTTCTTCCAGCACACTGACATTTGTCTGTCTGTCTTCCCAAGATATTTGCAGGATTTTCGAGAGGCAACGCTGATGGAATTGTTCCAGGAGTTGCATGTGAGTAGCAGTACTAGTAGTATGTTTGTATATGCGACAAAGGCTTCTGCATGGCTTGATGGACCTGAAACTGTAATTTGGTACACATACACTTCATGATCTAAGACAAATGATTGGCAGGTTTGGGTGGGACTGATTGAGAATGATGGAAGCAGGGTGCAGCCACAACCAGAGAGTTGTGTGATGGGAGTTGCAACCAAATATATCTGGCCCTGATGGGATTTGCAGCTGGCAAGGTAAAGCAGCGGAGACAACCAAACCATGTGGTCCAGGCCTTGACAATGACAGAGAAATATCCAGCTGCAACCACAAGAGGCCACTAGCATTACAAAAGGTAAACCCAGGCAACGCCTTTTCACATGTCCGTGCATTGTTCACATTTCCAACAGACATACAAAACACTCTTGTATATTCTAGACCAGGCCTGGGCAAACTTCAGTCCTCCAGGTGTTTTGGACCTCAACTCCCACAATTCCTAACTCTTGTCTGTTGGATGCAGGTGTGAATGTTTCAATTAACCACCTTGATTAGCATTTAATGGTCTAGCAGTTTTCAAGGTGTAGCTTCTTACTGTTGGGGGCATCCTTTGTTGAGAAATGATTAGCTGTCCCTGATTGTTTCTTGTCTGGAGGTCCCCTGTTTTTGAATGTTGTTCTTTATTTACTGTAATGATTTTAGAGTTTGTTTTAAATACTGTGAGTAGGGTGGCCTCTTGCAGCTGACAGATGGTAAGGGCAGGCCAAGGTCTTTAGGCACTGGACCCAGTGTGCCAATCACCACTGGGACCACCTTTACTGGCTTGTGCCAGACTTTGCAGTTCAATCTTTAAATCCTCATATAGTGTCAGCTTTTCCAGTTGTTGTTGTTATTCCATAACAACATGAAGAAAGGAAACATTATTATTATTATTATTATTATTATTATTATTATTATTACTATTATTACTATTATTAGCGTCTATATGTTGAGCACCCCAGGAATACATAGTATGTGGGTGGAAGGAGGCTTGTGATTTAGTTTTGCCTTAGCCTTCTTAGATTAAAATGCACTTCCACAGATGCTTCACAGAATATGGAAAGCAGGACCCCGCTTTGCAGAAATGGGGTGAATAAAGGTGAATAAAGATAAGAAATAAATGTTACATGTACTGTCCTGGACTTCATTTCAATAGAAGACTGAAATTAAATGACCATTCTGACCCAAGGATTATTATCACCATATGTTACCATTGTTGCTTCTTTGTGACCGAAGCTCTATTATGTATCTTGTCTCTGCAAGAATATTCCACGCTATAATTCTGTGTTGCATGCATACATAATTAAATAATAACAATTCTTTGCACATTTCACTCATTGCTGCTATTCAATACATTTCCTTCATAACACAATATGTCTTAACTGATGTTCCAACTGGTTACATCAGAAGGATAGAAAGAAACCAGTGCTATTTCCTCTTCTCAATGAACCATTTCTATTCAAACTGGCCATAAAAGGAATCCTATGATTTAATAAACTGGCATGTGAATCAAGCCTAAAGCCAGGATGACTAAACCAAGACTGTTGTCCTTTGGCCAAATTGTGAGAAGACAGGACATACCTGGAAAGACGATAATGTTTGGGAAGAGAAGACTGCAATACAGATGGATAAAACTCAGTTGAGGAAATTATGACTGCCTTGAGTCTCTACAACAGTGGTTCTCAACCTTCCTAATGCCGCAACTCCTTAATACAGTTCCTCATGTTGTGGTGAACCTCACCCATACAATCATTTTCATTGCTACTTCATAACTGTAATTTTGCTACTGTTATGAATCGTAATGTAAATATCTGATATGCAGGATGTATTTTCATTCACTGGACCAAATTTGACACAAATACCCTATAATGCATTGCGCAGGCGCAACTTTTATCCAATCCTGCCACGCTTTGGTCATTCTTCCTCTCTCTCTCTCCCCCTAGCGGAGGAAGAGGCTGCTCACATCGACTGCCTCTAGGGGGCGCCCGAACCCAGCGGGAGTTTTCTATTGGGTGAGGACGAGCGGTGGGCGGAGTTTCCCCCGCTTGATTCATAGAGTTGGAAGAGACCACATGGGCCATCTAGTCCAACCCCTTGCCATGCAGGAAAAGCACAATCAAAGCACCCCTGACAGATGGCCATCCAGTGGAGTGTGTGATATATATATGTGTGTGTGTGTGTATGTATGTATTAGGCATGTGCAACCATGGTTCTAAATGATTCTAAAGTACTTACAAAACTAAAGTTCTGGTGGTGAAAACTAGGGGGCGCTGGTGCTTTGCTTCTAAAGTGTTGCTAAAGTTCTGGTGGTGAAAAGTCAGAACTCTTAAGATAACTTTCAAAATTTCCTTATTATTTCGTTACTGGCAATTTTTTTATGACAGAACCAATTAGGAACTGCCCTTTATAACAAAATTTTGAAATTTTGTTAGAGTTCTGAAATTTTCACCACCAGAACTTTAGCAACACTTTAGAAGCAAAGCACCAGCACCCCTAGTTTTGTAAGTATTCTAGAACCATTTAGAACCACAGATTGTCCATGCCTAGTGGTTATAGATGCAAATTTGGCAGTATTATTTATTTATTTAGAGTTTTTGTATACCGGTCTTCTCCACCTCCTACGAGGGACTCAGGCCGGTTTACAGCATAAAATTCAAATACAATAATAAGATACAAAACATCCTCATAATACAATAAAACAAGTGCATTAAAATACAATCATAAACATTACACAGGCCAGGTCGTCAGGTGAAACATCAGGTCGTTGCACATGCCGTGTGGTCAGAGTCATGCTATCATATGTCACGAAGCCATATTCCAAAGCCATGTTCACTTGTTTCTAAAGATTTAGTTGAGGGGAGGGTTCAGATCTAATCTCAGCGGGAGGTGTGGAGTCCAGAGCTGAGGGGCCACAACTGAGAAGGAAGGGTAAATTGGGCCGGAGAGTGTTTGGATTTTGGGTAATCTGCTACCTTTTGATTTATTTTTTTTTGGCTGGAAGCTAAGGCAGCAAGGGAGCGCGTGCAAGGCGTTAGTGTGCTCCGTACCCCCCCCAGTATCCCGCTCCCTTAGTATACTGGCTGCTGATTTTGTCATTTGGAAGTTGTAGTTGCTGTGATTTATAGTTAACCTACAATCAAAGAGCATTCCGAACTCCACCAACAATAGAATTGGGCCAGACTTGGCACACACAACTCCCATGACCAGCAGAAAATACTGGAAGGGTTTGGTGGGCATTGACGTTGAGTTTTAAAGTTGTAGTTCACCTAAATCCAGAGAGCACTGTGGACTCAAATAATGATGGATCTAAACCAAACGTGGCATAAAGCCGCAGTATGCCCAAATGTAAACACTGGTGGAGTTTGGGGAAAATAGACCTTGACATCTGGGAGTTGTAGTTGTTGGGATGTATAGTTCACCTACAATCAAAGAGTATTCTGACCCCCACCAATGATAGAATTGGGTCAGACTTCCCACACACAACCCCCATGACCAACAGAAAATACTGTGTTTTCTGATGGTCTTTGGCAACCGCTCTGACACCCCCCTCACGACCACCAGCACCACCACCACCACCCCACCCCACCCCCGGGCTCCCGACCCTCAGGTTGATAAACACTGCTCTACAAGATCTGAGCAGAGTGGTTGATGATAAGTTGACTTGGAAGCCTCTCATCCATGGAGTCACCATAAATTGAACTCAACTTGACCGAAGTTAATAACAACAAACCTGAATTTACTTGTTTTCTCATTCCAGCTCTTTTCATGTTGTGGAAGGGGACAATCTTGTCAATTACTGACTTCATGTAGATCACTCTGATAGCTTTTTAAAACGAAATGTACAATAAAAGTGCATTAAATAAAGGTTTACTCTTTAGAGTTTAAGGCCATTTGACCCCATTGTCAGTGCCATAACTATGGAATCCTGCGATCTAGTTTGACGAAACCTTCAGCTTTCTCTGCCAATGAATGCTGGTAATTCACCAAACTACAAAACTCATAATTCCATAGCAGTTACAGTGGTGTTGAACTGTATTAATTCTACAGTGCAAATGCACCTTTGGAAAGCATTTAAAGGAATCTTGATTCATTGCGCATCCTGCAGTGGTTTCTAACCTTTGGTATTCCAAAGGTTTCCAGAAGTTCTAGCCAGCTGTCACTTCTCAGGAATTCTGGGAGTTGAAGTCCATAACACCTGGAGGAACAAAGATTGGGCACCACTGATCTAGGGATATAAAAGCCAGCACCACAGCAGCTGGAGTAATCTTTCCTATGAACATTTGTTTTCCATTGATACACATAGCAAAACATAATGTACAGCTATACAAACAGAACAAACCCTTCAAGGATCAATTCTATCACTATCTGAAAATGTGTATTACTGTACTTTATTTGAAGGACTCTGTTGCTGTGGCTTACGTTCATCTAGCTCTTTGTTTTCAGACTTGCTTCTTCTAGTTTGTTCTCCTGATAACATTTTTTTCAATACCGTCCCTTTTCTTTTGCTTCAGTAAAGTTAATCCAATGAGGTCTTTGATCCTTGAAGAACAGATGTGCACAGTTCTGTGACCTGGAGTGAAAAGGCACGGAAGAAAAGCTGTGCTGTAAATCACTATTACCGTTCTTTGCTGAGAACTCCAAAGTTTGGGTGTTGATTGTTTAAAAATCATACAGTAAGCTATGTATTCGAGAGAACAAAGAAACTGGTTTATATCAATACTGGATAATACGTTAGGAACCAAACGTACATTACACACCAGTTTTACATGGAACCATGAATTGAAAATAGTATAACAAAACACAGCTGGCTACAAGGTTGAACAAAGGTAAGACAATTTTATATAGGATCTTCAAGGTTGCACTGGTTTGAATGAACACAGTTTTCAAAAAAATGCAAGATTATTATTATTATTATTATTATTATTATTATTTTATTTGTACCCGCTAGCATCTCCCAAGGGATTCGATGCAGCTTACAGCAGGCCGGAGCCCAACACAATACAACAAAACAGTACATAGCAAATAAAACAGTTAAAGCAGAAAACAATAAACAATAGCAATGCAACAGGACAATTATTAAAAACTGAGCCGGCCGGAGTAGGGGTACAGGATTAAAAAGTGCTGAAGTGTCGGAGGGATATGGGATTAAAATCAAGTGCAGTGTGCGGTGAGCAGTGATCTTGGCTCTACTAAAGTGCTTCTGGGGTTTGGTAGTGGGGTACCTAATCTGAAAAGGCACATTGGAACAGCCAGGTTTTCAGATTCTTTCTGAAAACCGCCAAAGTAGGGGCCTGTCTGAGATCTTTCTGGAGGGCATTCCAGAGGCGGGGGGCCACCACAGAGAAGGCTCTGTCTCGCGTCCCCACCAAACGCGCCTGTGACGCGGGCGGGATCACGAGCAGGGCCTCTCCTGATGACCGGAGTGAGCGTGTGGGTTCGTAGACAGCGATGCGGTCACGCAGGTAGGGTGGTCCCAAACCGTTCAGGTAATCTAACAGAGGGATAAAATAAAAATTTGCAATAAAGGGAATCAAAAGACAGTTCGTTATGAAGTCTCTCAGTAGAACTGAATAATTTCCAGATACAATCAAGAGTTAAAATATGCAATCTAATTGTTATAGACATTGAAATAGAAATCTGACTGATGCATGGTACTGATGTATAAACAACATTTAATACAATTTAAATATTCTGAACCAATTTTCAGAATGGTATTTGTCAGTTCTGGTTATTTATTTATTTATTTATTTATTTACAACATTTAGATTCTTCCCTTCTCACCCCGAAGGGGACTCAGGGCAGATCACAGAACATATATACGACAAACATTCAATGTCATTAAGCAGACAGGACAGACAACAGATAGTGGTATTATGTCGGTACTTTCCCAACTTCAGCACCCTGGAGGTTGTGCTCAATTCCAGCCACGGGGGTGCTGTCACTCCATCCTCTATGATGAACACCTTTGATCCCAGACTTCCCTCTTCCTTTGATCGCCGGCATTTTTCTAGTATTTCTTTTATGGTGCCATAAAATACCTCCCTGCTTAAGCGGCACCCAATTTCTCAGCTCACAGCTGTTTTCAAACTGCTTAGGTGGACAGTAAGCTGGGCTGAAGGTCGGGTGCTCATCCCAACCCTGGCTTCAAACTGCCAACCTTTCGATTACTAAGTTATTTCAATTACTAAGTTCTATCGTTGCTGGTGATTAACCAGCTGTGCTAAAGCTCAGCCCTGGTTAGTACTTAAGTGGGAGACTACTGACAAACACCAGCTATATGTAGCGTCTTTGCATCTTAATCAAGAGATAAAAGTGGGATGCAAGTAAATATGATTGTAATAATATTTCAGAGGAAGGAACAAGCAAAACCACCTTTTGCATATCCACAGCCTAAGAAAACCAAATGGATAAATTAGTGGGATCACCATAAGTCCATAGGTGACTTGAAGACACATACATACATAATTGTTACAGAAGACAATGACAAATAATCCCCTGTACCTTTGGGACTAGTACCTTTATAATGAGACAAGTCTCCGGGGACTGTTGTCTACTTTATCTTATAGTACTTTTAAACTCATCATTATGTTCCCCTATTATTTGTTTAGTGTTATTTAGCAACTTCCTTTTTCAAAATCAGCAGTCATATGTGTTCATCATGTATTGAGCAAGATGTTTTGCTTTTTGCTAGGAACAAGCAGATCACAGGAACACTCCATCGGAAAGTATTTAATAAAAGACAAAGTTTCTGTACTGGTTTTTGTGGTAAATTCTCATCGCTATAATTATGTTTTCTCTTAAGCTGGCTCATAAGCTTTTCAGCTGCAGCGTGCCTAATCTAGCATTGGCTTGGAGGGGTCAGGGAACGTATGCGTGCTTGCACACATGGTCTTCTCACATGCACACATGCAACAATAATACTAGAATTACAGAGAGTTGGGAGAGGTTTCCCTATTGCTAGACCAACGTAGCTGGGCTAAACACCATTGGATTTAATATGATATTTCTGAGAAAAAGACTTGGATTTGATTTGGCTTTCAATATAAATAATCACACCTGTCACTGGGTCAAGCATAGCTTGTATTTAACCTGCGGCAAGTTGTGCTCAAATACACAAACTGATTGGGCTAGTGCCAATACTATACAATCAATTTTCCTCCACAGCTGTTCTCCAGAGAGCTGTATTTCATGCCGCAGAAGAAAGCTGATCATTCTAAAAATACAACTGATGAGATAAATAGAAACCCATCTGGACTGCTGTTAATTAGTTGGAGGAGGAGAAACCATGACACCTTCAAAAGACATTTGCAGACATCATGCATACTTAAGAGATAATAGAAGTCAACACTCTTTAAAAATCAAGTGAGTCCAATGCAGGGTCGGGCCAGCTAAGTCAGAAATATCCAGGTGACATACCTGATAGTGTAGTAAAGGCATTTGTGACTTTAAGTCTGGATATGTCAAAGGAAGCCATTTTACTACTAGCTTAGTCTTGGGGCGTGCAAGCAAGCAACCTCTCTCAAAGTGTGGTGAGTTCACTGAACTAGAGAAAGATGTTGTGTCAGCAGGATGCTAGAATCAAACGAGGCCTTTTAAAAACTAGCAGAGCAGTGACTGCCAGCCTGCTGAATTCTCGCAGTAGTTCTTAAAATATTTTATATATTTTCTGTAGTGATGCTCCTGCATGGCAGAGGAATAGGCAAAACTGTAGGAGAGTCAGTGTGGACATCCAGAATAGATCTACAACCCAGAAAATGATGATGATGATGATGATCTGGACAGAAAACAAGAAAACTGGTGACAATCCACTATTCATTACACCCGCGTAGTGATGTCGACACACTTTACCTGCCCAGAAAATCAGGAGGCAGAGAGAGGGCTTCTGCAAGTGAAAAAACAGAAGAGAAACACGAACTGGCAGATTATGTGAAAGGCAGTCAAGAACCAACATAGAGGGAAGTCAATAGTAGTAAACTGCTTAAAGTGCAAAGGACAAAGAGTGAATATCGTAAAAACACAATGCAGAGCAGAAGAGAAAACTGGCAAAAGAAGGCTCTCCATGGACAGTTCCTGGGAAAAATTGAGAGCCAAATTGACAAAGAAAATCATGGATGTGGCTCACAGCTGCAAAGGCCACCTTATGGGATCTGCACGCATTATTCGCCAATACATCACACAGTGCTAGACACTTGGGAAGTGTCCAATGTGTGATCCAATACAACAGCCAGCAAAGTGGTCTTGTTTGCTGTAGACTCATCTTGTTGTGTTTCAAATAATAATACTTTATTTTTATCCCACCACCATCTCCCCAGAGGGACTCGGGGAGATAGTGGTGGGAAGCACTCAATAATGCAACACAATAAAAATACAACAAAATACAAAAAGGTAAAATTCATAACAATAAAATTAAGATAGAAGAGGTGCTGAAAGCTCCTCTCTGGAAGCTGAAGGAGGTGCTCCTCGGTGTGATATTTGGCCTCAGAAGCAGAGGGAAAGATACAAGATACTGCCAGAAAAGTAGAAGTGGTGGCTCATGGCTGTCATTAACATCTTTCAAACAAATCTAATGGAATATTTGAAGCAGAAGAAAACATCTTTTTTATTGTTCAGAGCATTGGGTGGAGCAAGGCAGCCTTGAAGCAGACATGCAGATCAGGAAACATCTCCTAATTCTATTGAATTGTATAGCAGCAGCAATACTCATAACACCTCATCATATCCCTGGAGCCCCTAGTGGCAAAATGGGTTAAACCCCTGTGCTGGTGGACTGCTGACAGAAAGGTCAGCAGTTTGAATCTGGACAGCGGAATGAGCTCCCATCTGTCAGCTTCGCATGAGAGAAGTCTCCCACAGGATGGAAAAAATTCTGGTCATCCCCTGGGCAATGTCCTTCCAGACAGCCAATTCTCTCACACCAGAAGCAACTTGCAGTTTCTTAAGTCGTTCCTGACACACACAAAAATCACATCCTGGCATGCATTTATTTCTGGTCTTATACATCACCGCTATCTTGCATTTCTGCAAAATCAATAAAAGTTTCCCTTGCAAGGCAAACAGGATAGATACAATACTAGTATTATTATATCTAGGACAGTGAGCCTGGAGAGACGATTCCGTTGTCATTTTTTTGTGTGTGTGTTTATCGATGTTTCTATCGATTATATTTTCATAAATTTTACTGTTATTCTGTTGTGAATATTCTAATCTGATGCTGTTCCTTCTGGCAGTTGTTTGGACCCAAAAGTGGTATTATAATTCATACAATCATAGAGTTGGAAGTTACCTTGTGGGCCATCCAGTCCAACCACCTGCCAAGAAACAGGAAAATCACATTCAAAGCACCCCCGAGAGAGGGTCATCCAGCTTCTGTTTAAAAGCCTCCCAAGAAGGAGCCTCCAATACACTCCAGGGCAGAGAGTTCCACTGCCGGACAGCCCTCACCATTAGGAAGTTATTCCTGATGTTCAGGTAGAATCTCCTTTCCTATAGTTTGAAGCCATTGTTCTGCATTCTAGTCTCCAGAGGAGCAGAAAACAAGCTTGCTCCCTCCTCCCTATTACTTCCCCTCAC